CACAACCCAGACCCGAGCCCCCTACAACGTGTCCCCCCCAAAAAACCTTTTTTCAGGGCCCAAGAGGGGAACAGCTGAGAGGCGGGCGAAGCCCGCCTCAGGTCGTGTGCCCTTGCTCTGTGCATACAGAAAGGGAGTCAAATTTACTTTCTAGTTGGTACTAGAAGGTACACAACCCAGACCCGAGCCCCCTACAACGTGTCCCCCCAAAAAACCTTTTTTCAGGGCCCAAGAGGGGAACAGTTGAGAGGCGGGCGAAGCCCGCCTCAGGTCGTGTGCCCTTGCTCTGTGCATACAGAAAGGGAGTCAAATTTACTTCCTAGTTGGTACTAGAAGGTACACAACCCAGACCCGAGCCCCCTACAACGTTTCCCCCCCAAAAAACCTTTTTTCAGGGCCCAAGGGGGGAACAGCTGAGAGGCGGGCGAAGCCCGCCTCAGGTCGTGTGCCCTTGCTCTGTGCATACAGAAAGGGAGTCAAATTTACTTCCTAGTTGGTACTAGAAGGTACACAACCCAGACATTTGGTATTTCACTTTTTCACGTTCTGCATTTCGTCTTTCAGATTCCGTATTCTACTATTCCTATTCCGTATTCCACTTTTCATATTCCGCAAACCACTTTTCAAATTCCGCATTCCACTGTTCAAATTCTGCATTTCATTATTTCGATTTCGCATTGAGCTCGTGTACTCTCTTTATCTCTCTGTGTGAATATAGAAAGGGGACTCGGACGAGGTGTACTATCCAGCCGCAGGAACCGCGTATATTTTATTACTCCCTCACAGTATCCATTGGGCACATTGACACGATCGTGTTTAAAATATCATGGACCGGAAATATAATATTTTCGCTTTAAGTGTCATTTTACAAAATAGAGAATCGACTCTGCAATGGTTGCGTGATGTAGAACTGATCCCGAGTGAACGCTTTTGTTCGAAGCATAAGAAAAATATGACTTTGACTGAATCAGCGTTCACTTGTGGTCAGTTCGTTTGCGAGAAAAAAGGTAAATATCGTCATCGTCATACTGTCGCAGAGAGCACGTGGTTCGAACAATGCCACATCTCTGCGGCTTCTTGTATGATGGTGACGTATTGCTTTTCGGTGAGTTTTGACTTTCAGCAAACTATTCGTGAGAGTAGTATTGTTGAAGGTCAAAATATTTCTTCTGAAACCATTGCAGATCGATTCTCTTTTTGTCGGGAGGTCTGCATGATTGCTTTAGATGAACACTTCCTAGAAGAGGGTCAAATTGGAGGTGTGGGCGAAATCGTCGAGATCGACGAATGCAAAATCGGTCGTCGAAAGTTTGAGAGAGGTCGAGTAGTAGAGGGTTCATGGATCCTCGGAATGATTCACAGAGGACATTCTTCCAACTATCGACTGGAAATCTGTCCCGACAACAAACGAGACAAAACTACTTTAATTAACTTGATTAAAAAGCACGTTGTTGTCGGAACAGAAATCCATACTGATTGTTGGAAGGGCTACATTGATTTGGAACAATGTGGCTACGTTCACAAAACTGTGAATCATTCCGAGGAATTTGTAAACTCTACTACTGGTGCCCACACCCAAAATATTGAATCCTCTTGGAGATGGATGAGACAATCTCTCTCCAGAGGAGGTGTTCGCAAGCATAATATTGCAGACCACCTTTGTGAGTTTTTGTGGCGGAGAAGGGTTCGCAAATTAAATGCCGATCCTTTTTCGCAATTAATTGCGGACATAAAAATTGCTTACCCTGGCCACAAAAACTAAGAAAATGGCACTTAAATCAATCGGCCTTTTTCAAGGCCACGAAACCGTTGCGATTTGTAACATTCCATCAATCGGCCTTTTTCAAGGCCACGAAACCGTTGCGATTTGTAACATTCCATCAATCGGCCTTTTTCAAGGCCACAAAACCGTTGCGATTTGTAACATTTCATCAATCGGCCTTTTTCAAGGCCACAAAACCGTTGCACTTTGTAACATTTTATCAATCGGCCTTTTTTTGTTAAAATTATTTTTCAAAATTTTGCGTTTTTTACGATTTATTCACAAAAACCACAATTTTATGGTTTTCATAATGGTTTTTACCATAATCATTAAATTTGCACCAATTTTCATTATTATTTTTGTGATCAGCGCATCTAAATACGTAAAGAAACTGTATTTTGTTAAAATTAGCTGTTCTTTTGAGCAAAAGTATATTTTAACCCGTTTTTATGGTATTTTATGGTTTTTTACATTTTTCTCGGAAAATAATGGATTTTAGCAAATAATAATAAGAACATAAAATGTGTATTTTGGTGAGATCTATAACTTTTGTTTAAAAAGTTGTTCAAAATTTTTCGTTTTTTACGAATTATACGCAAAAAACCACATTTTTATGGTTTTTTTATGGTTTTCCTTATTCGGAAGTATATCCAAATTATTGATTACAAAGAAAGAATGGCAATGCTTTTAGATAGTCCCGAGATTAAAGATATTTGAGCATCTATTATTACAATGTTAGTAGGACAAATAGTAACAATTAGAGTTGTGCAAAAAGCTTGAAGCTCGAAGCTCGATCGAGTTCGAGCCGAGCCGAGCTGTGTAAAAAGCTCGAATAGTTTCGAGTACTCGATTTAATTCAAGTACTCGAATTTTTTCGAGCTCTTGAGTAAATTTGAGTTTTAGAGAAAATTCATATAATTTTTGAATATATTATATTTAGCAAATAGAAGTACATTTTAAAATTAAAGATTTCTTTACTTTATTGATTCAGTAATTCAAAATTTTCTACTTATTAATAAATTAATTTTAGTAAGTCAAAAGCTCGAATCCATTCGAGTACTCGAATTTTTCGAGTACTTGATTTCACTCAAGCACTCGAGTGACTTCGAGTACTCGAAAAATTCGAGTACTCGAATTCACCCGAGTGCTCGAATTTAATCGAGTACGCGAATTTTTCGAGTACTCGAAGTCACTCGAGTACTCGATACATCGAGCCGGCTTGGGTTTGGCTCGGCTCGGCTCGACATTTCGATCTTTTTGCACATCTCTAGTAACAATGTTACTTGCAAAACAATTATCAATTGCAGGAACATTAGAAGTTCTCCGAGAAAGAGTGTTCCGTATCGAATTAAGGACAATTTTTACAGACGAAATAGACATTCCCTTTTGTAAAGAATATGACTGTGGAAATTCAAGTAAAGTTTTCGTTCTCGAAGCATATATTTGACCGGGTCTGAGAAAAGGACCTAGTTACCAAAATCAACTTTTCGAGAAAAACGCGTTTAAAGTTTTCTATCCAAATAAATTAGATTTCTTGGAACATTTTACATTTTAAATTAACATGATGAGTGTTCTTTATGTATTATTTTATGCTGAATCCGATTTTCATGGTTAAATAATTGTTCAAACAACCCTGTAATTGTGATAAACAATTTACTTTGCAAAAGTCAAATTATGGAATTATCAAAATTAATTTAAAAGACTTCCGGATGTCCTAGAGGTCTCAAATTTTTTATGCAAGTTCAGAACTGATACAATAATGAATAATTTTAAACTCTACAATAATCCATAGTTATTTTTTGACTTGCACAACCAGGTTGCCGATGACGGGTATACTTGGGGATCATCTTCAAGGAATTAAGTCGAATTTTTTGTAAATGGTTTAGGCATTCAATTTAAGATTTAGGGGAAATATTCTTGACACTTAAACAACCAAGAGTAATTTTTGTCTTAAAATTACTTATATTTTCAACAAAAAAAAATTAAAAAAATTTTTTCTTAAATTTGTTTAAACAATTGCAAATTTTTTTAACAATCAGGACTGATTGCATTGTATTTCTAGGACCTTAAACTATAAGAAACCATCATAAAAAAATCAATTTTTTGGTAAGTAGGTCCCTTTTCTCAGACTCGATCACATATACAGCCCAAAAAGGAAAAAATTCTAAATATTTACCAGACAAGGGGTACAGGAGTGACAAGTGATAGTGACGAGGGAATTAACAGCCCTAAAATAAGAAACTTAGGTAATTTAGGAGAAATTGACAAAAATCAGGAACTATTAGCAGGGAGGGGGGAGAAAAGCTTATCATACAGTAGAAAAGGTCCGACCAGCGAACCTTTGCCAAGTCCCCCAAGTATAAGTCATACACCAGTCATGACAACAGCTAGTATCCCTACTAACTCGATTTTGACATAAATATCCACCAACCAGTACAGACAAATAAAAAAATTCTGCCCATGGGGGGGATATCAAATGATGATAGTAACAGGGAAAGTGACTCAGACAAATCCGACAAATTTTCGACAAGGGAGAAAAACATTTCTCAGAACAAAGACAAATACAAACGACAAACTAATAAAAAATACAAAGAAAAGAATATACGAAGGACACTATTTACTGATTTATCGAGTGATTCTGACTCGGACATTTCAAGTAAATTATCGTTAAAATCAGACAAAAGTATAGCAATTAATAGGTCAAGAAAAATTAAAGCTTTGATTAATTAGGATATTAAATTTTTGGGAGAAGAAAATGCTGACCCTAGAGATTTCCTTGACAGATTAGAAGATTGTAAAATTTGTATGGTAATTGACGACGATGACTTAGTACATTCAATTCCAAGTATTTTAAAATGTCAAGCAAGTCGTTAGTATAGGACTATTAGACGAGAAATTGACACATGAAGATGTTCAAGAGAGCTTTTCGTTGTGAAATTTTGATAACAGTTGACGATGACGAGGTGATTGATGAACTTAGGGCTAGGACACAAGCAAAAGGAGAAAAGATTTCTTTGTATTTGACTAATAATGGGACATTTAAAGAGACCATTACCAGTCAAGCAACAGTTTAAAATTGCTTATAAAGGCCTTACGCCAACTTACCGTAGACAAGTTGAAACATGAAGTTTAGAATCACTGACTAAAGTAGAAAAGAGTTTACGACAATAGGAAGAGGTTAAAGACTTGGACGACAGATATGTTCCCCTACCATCTAAAGACAAAATGCGTTTTCCAGCCGCTGCATTCCATGGTACCAAGAAGGACGATAAGACACAAGGGACCAGTAAACATGAAAAGAAAGTAGCAGCTTTACAAGACGAAGGTGCAGTCGAGTCAAGTGAGGGTGAGAAAAAGAATAAAAGGAAAGGTGAAAAGAAGAAAAAGGACAAAAAGACAAAGGGAGAGAAGAAAGTTAAGAAAACTGACGAAAAACTTTACGCTCTCAACCAGACGACCCCCACCACCAATGTGACACCAACACCAGCTCCAAATCCACCTAAATCCAGAAGAAGCAACAACAGAATAACCTTGTTAATCCTGATGCAGGTCAAGCTGGTGCGGCAAGTAATACAAATGCATCAACCTCTTTTTATAGTGCATGTTTCTCTTGCCAATCAGTGGGACATAGGGTGTCTGAATGTCCTTTAAAAATATGTTTTGTATGCCAACAGCCAGGGCATATAGCAATACATTGCCCTAGTAGAGTAAAACCGACAGAAATTTAGTTAGTTTGCAAAACTCCAGGGATAAATTTCTTGACTTGCTCAAATTGTGTTAATGTGAGAAACGCTTTGGGAAACGGCCCATGGAGGCGCAGTCACTGCCTGCATCGCTCTGTCGCCTTTTGTCATTTTTGGCTATAGTTGGTGTCGTTCAGCGTCGTGTGTCCGTCTCCCGTCAAGTCAATTAGGTAATGACCACGCGCATGCTTGATTGACATGAGGACGTCGCATTGGTCAAGACCGCCCTTACCCTTTTTCTTAACAGGTGTCTTGCAATTGTCACGAGAGAGGAGGTATCGTTTTCGAATGGATCCAACAAGGATGGTGTCAATTTTCTAGGAAAGACGAGCAGCGTTCCTGGGATTTTACATGATTTGCATTATTCATTCAAGAAGGTAGCTCTCTAATTGTTCAGTCGTGTTTCGGTAGAGAGAACCGATTTTGTACATCGCTTCCTTTGGAGAAACGTTAATTTTAGATAATCTTTATATTTTAAGTTTTGTTAATTAGTATTAAAGATTGTTATTTGAGTTTTTGTTAATTTTTAATTGAATAAATTTAAGTTTAATTTAATTATTTTGTTAATTTAGTTGGTGTGATTTATTGAAATTATTGCTGTTTGGAGTCGTTGGTTTTCTTTGGTTGACCGTTGAGATTTGAATTTGGAGAAAGACGCAAGGATAAGGTTGGTGAGGAAATAACTCTTTTTCGAATTCGTAAATTGGAGGTCCAGCATCGGGATTCCTTTCTCAGTTTTTCCCCCTTTGAGATTGTTTGGTTTTTCAGATTTTTCCGGTGATTGTGTTCGGTTATTTAAGTTCGGGTTTTTGAAGCATTCAGTTTATTAGAATTTAACTATTTAAATTGAAAAATACCCTTACATGACAAAAAGAAAATTACAGTAATAGGGTGTAACCAGACCTTTTTCAACAACAATAATTATTATAAACAAACGGGCCTAATTTACAAAACAGGGGAATATTTATAAACAAACAGAATTTGAATTGAATTGTAATTACTTTCAAAATCAGTGACACCGGGGTATAATTTAAGTTGTAATGTCTTGCTTCCTGAGATTTTTTTTACTTTTCAATTCTTAATTTCCTTGTCGTCAACCTCCAGAATTCTCTAAATGTCATTGATAAAAGAAGGCAAAAGGTAGGTTGATTTCTAAAAAATCAAAAGGTAATATTTTATCCAATGACATGAGAATTCGGGCCTGGGCAAAAGGTGTCTCTTCATGAAATATAGAGAAATGACAGGGACTATCCTGTTCAATAGTCGATCTCTTAACATTTTGAAATTCCATAATAATTGGTAAATATAGAAAATAAATTCTAATTTATTCAAAAGGTTATTTTGTGAGATGACTTTTTGTGTAGGTTGAATTTAAAAAGTGACAGGTATATCGAGTCAACTCGATTTTCATTTGGTTAACGTTGTAATTCTCTGCTGTGGGTAAACGTGATGAGGAATCTGCGCAGGTGCGATGATCGTTCTTTTCTGCTTTAATCGAGAAACGCGCTAATTTTGAGTTTTCTGAATAATATTTTCAAGAGGGAGAATACGATAACATAGATAAACAAATTAGATAAACAAATATTTTACCAAAGCTGAGAAATTGTTATTGTTTTTGTTAATCGGCGCAAGGGAGTTTATTTGTTTATAAATTTTTAGTTAAAATTTTGTTTACAAATTTCTTAGAAAATTTGCCACGTTACAACACTCCCCTTCTAAAAGAGGGCCGAAAACGGCCTCTTGCAAAGGCAAGCAATTCCGCTTCAATAATAATCGCAAGGTTTCTCAGCCTTATGTTTGATATTCAAGTCAATCGAAGATCCATTATCATTGGTCTATCAATTAGTCTTCGTATTATGTGGATTTCTTAGGAGTAGCTTTACTTTTCCGAAATAGTAAAGTTCAAAAAAAAAAATTTATTTCTAATTAATTATTTACAAAATCAAAAAAAATTTTTTTTTTTTTTTTTTTTTTTTTACTGTTAGGCTTTTAATATATTTGATAAGTAAGCTCGTAGTTAACTTATTTTGCTTCGTGCCTGTTTGGATTGCAAAAGTAGGATAGGGTATTTAACTACATGGAATAAATTATGTCAGATTGCTTATGAAAATTATAATATAAATTTATTTATTATAATTATAATTTATAATATTTGTTAGGCATGTAATACTGGTAATTATAATACTGATTACTGTAATACAATAATGCGCTGATTTTCTAATTTTATTTACTGTCTCATGGCGCAGCCCTTGCATCTAGTAAATTTTTGTTTTTTGTTACCACATTGGCGACAGTAAAATATGTTTTCATCGCGGAGATAGGGGCAACCCTTGTGTTTGTGGTTTCGGCTATCACAATGCCAACAGCCGGGGCGGACTGTGCGACGCAGCCAATTTACCGTATTTTGGGGTACATTTCTTTGTTTTTTAATGGGGATTTTGAGTAGCGAAGGTAAAGGTAGTGTTTGTCCAGGGATTGTGTAGTTTTGTTGGAAACGAAAGGGCGACGGCGGTACTACTACGTTGGAGTGTTCGGAAGAATAGCGATAACCTGGACGACAGGTGGGAGCAGCTTTGTGCGGTTAATATCGGTTTGGTTTTCTTGGCTCGACGTTCTGTTCTTCTGTTCGAGGAAGAAGCGGGAAAGGCGATGGTGGTCGGAACTCTGAGGCTGATTCAGAAGAGGTGGATGGTAAGGCTTGAGGTTCTGGGGCCGTGTTTTGGGGTTCAACCCCTTTTGATCTTAGTGGTTTGACGAAATTTTCGCGTAAGATAGGGTGTGAGTGTTTTAGGTGGTCTCTTAGACAAGAGTTCTCGTTGTTGTTGAGGTCAAATGTGTTCGGATCTTTTGTTATTTTAGGGGAACTTTCGACTGGATCCGGTGAAATTGGTTCGTTTTCGCTGATCGAGGAATCATCGAATTCTATTTCGATGAATTCGTCAGTTTCCGAGGATTCAGAGGGATTCTCTGGGCGTTGTTCATCGTCTAAGCAAGCCAGGGGGTCTTCGGAGTCAATTCCGGTTGCGAGTGGGTCGTCGTTCGTTTCTGAGAAGGGATCGGAAAAGGGTTCATCGACATTAATTTCGAGAGGAGCGGTAACAGTTTCGGGGACAACTTCCGAAGTTGAGTCAGAGAGTGAGTCGTTCACGGTGATTTTGTGAAGAGTGGAGGTATTTTCGGGTGCGGCTTCCGAGATTGGAGTGGAAAAAGGGTCGTCTATGATGATTTCGAAGGAAGGAGTGGAACTGTGTTCCGAGTTATGATCGCTCAAAGTTTCTTCGGCGTTGGTGGTAATGGCATCCTTCAAGGAGTCTATAATCTGGTCTATGGGAGTTGAAGGTCTGTGAGGTTCAGACATACTCTCCAGATTATCGGGTAAATCTCCATGAAGTTGGTCTTCACGAATGACGGTAAAGTCACTGTGAACAGAAGAGTTCGAAAGAGAAGGGGCTCGAGATCGGTTGGGGAGGACATCAGAGTCAATAATTACTACGTCATCGTCTGAATCATCGGAGATGATACTAAAGGAGATATCTTCAGAGTTTGTAGGTGCGTTGGCGGTCGATTTCGCCAGATCTGGGGAAATTGACGGAGTTAAATCTTGATTTTGAGATTTCTCTTGGGTCGATTCATCAAGAGAGGTTTCTTCAATGGCAATGGGGACTCGATTGCAGGTGCATTTGGTTAGGGGAAGCGGGTCACCATCGGGTGTTAATCTGTATTCGCTGGATGTTTGGCAATTTTCTAACACGACTACGCGGGTGTTGTAGAAATGTTTCTTCTCCTCGCGAATGCTGCGTTTTATTGCGTGGTAGAGACCAGGATAGAGTTTAGTGATTCTAGATAAAATTTGTTGGTAGGGTTTAATGTAACGCCAACTAGGTTGCATTTTATTTTTCTCCTCGTCTTCGGGGCTCCAAGAGACGTCAATGTCTTGGGGTTGGCGGTATTCCTCAATGAGACTTTCCAATTCGTTGATTTTGACGAGCAGGCTTGAGTTCTCCTTCTCCATTTCCGAGATACAGTCGGCTGCTTCCCTCAGGAACTTGGGATATTGTCTAGTTAATTTTTCGTTTTCCTTTAGTTTCCGGAGCAAATTCTGAGCCATCTCAGCTAGGTAGGCGATAGTGGCCTTGGGGTCGTCGAGAACGTTAGTCGCCATGTTGACGAGATCGGTTGGTCGACAGTAACTCGAATCTACAAATCAGAGTCGAAATTAGTATTTAAAAAAGGTTTAACATCTTTAATGTGGAATTTTCCAATATGTTTAAGGGACAAATCACTTAATTCAACAACATTCGGAGGACGAATTTTTGTAAGGTCCAGAATATTTAGGAGATAATTTTGAAGTAATGTTTTTGATTTTAGAGGACAAGATTCGGCAGCGAGTGAGAACGAGGTCTCCTACTGAATAATTTACTGCGCGATGGTGTTGATCATAATAACGGGATTGTTTTTGGTAGGCTTTATCCATATTTTCTATTACCCAATCTTTCATTAATTGGATCTTTTTCATTCTTTCTTCCCAAAGGGTCGGATCTCTTTGTTCTATTTCGGGAGGATTGTCGTTTAGTTTCTTACGTACGTCATTGATAGCGTTAGGATGACGTCCGAGATTTAGGAAGGCTGGGGAAACTTTTAGGGAATCATGGAAAGCTGTATTGTAGGCGTATCGGAATTCTGTGAGGTATTTATCCCAGTTTCGATGGTCTTCAGATATATATGAAATTAACATTGTTTTAAGGACTCGATTAACTCGTTCTACGGGATTTGCTTGTGGATGGTAGGGAGGTGTTGTCGAGTGATAAATTCCGTACTCTTGTGCGAGAGAACGAAGGACATTGTTAATAAATTCTGTTCCATTATCTGTTAAGAGGACTTTAGGGGTTCCCCATCGGTTTATGACAAGGTCTTTCAGGGCATCTGAGATTAGTTTACCGGTAGCATTTCTTAGGGGCTTAATTTCAATCCATTTTGTGAAGAGATCTTGGATAACAAGGATGTATTTAAAATTGGAGCGACTAGGTGGGAAGGGACCCATAATGTCGGCTGCTATTACAGTCCAGGGTTGCTCTACAATTCTTTGGCTCATTAAGCCGGGCGGTAAGTTTTGATCTACTTTACAGGATTGACAAACTGGACAAAGTCGGACAAATTTAACGATTTCGCGGTAGCATCCGGGCCAATAATAATCTGTAGCTACTCTCATGTAGGTTTTCTGAGTTCCTAGGTGACCTGCTTGTGGATCATTGTGTGCTTTTTGGAGGATGGATTGTCTTTCGGATTCGCATGGGACTAGTTTCCAAGCTTTTAGGTCTTCAACTAAAGTTGAGAGGATTGGGTCAGGTCGATAACAGTATAATTTACCGTCAGTGATTCGCCAGTTAGGAAAACGTCCGGGAAATTCTGTAACTTGCAGAAATCTACGAGTATACCAAGTGTTATCAGTTTCTTCAGCTGAGTATAGGACTTCTATGTTTTCAGCTGGGGCTTCTACAATTTGGGTAGCAGGGATACGGGACAAAGCATCAGGCACATGATGCATCGCTCCTTTCCTGTGTATTATTGTGTAATTATACTCAAGCAAGGTCAAAGCCCATCGAGCTAGGCGACCTGTAGGGTTGCGCAAATTATGAAGCCATTTTAAACTACTGTGGTCTGTAATCACAGTGAAATCATAACCTTCAAGATACGCTCTGAACTTCTGAATAGACCAAATGACAGCAAGACATTCTTTTTCTGTCGTGGTATATTTTTGTTCAGCTTCGGTGAGACTTCTGCTAGCGTATGCAATAACATACTCAACATTATCAATTTTCTGAGTGAGCACTGCACCGAGACCTACGTCACTAGCGTCAGTTTGTAGTTCAAAAGGTAACTCGAAATCAGGACGAGTAAGGACGGGTGCGTTCATGAGGGATGATCGGATTTTCTCGAAAGCTGTTTGTTGATCTGTTAGCCATTCCCACTTTTGCTTTTTGCGTAATAATTTATTTAGGGGTGAAGTTATGGATGCAAATTGAGGGATGAATCTACGATACCAGCCTGACATGCCGAGGAATCTTCGTAATTCCTTTACATTTTTCGGGGGTGGATAGGTCAGAATGGGAGCGACTTTATCTGGGTCTGCAGATAAACCTTTTTCGTCAACAAGAAAACCTAAGTAACGTACTTGAGGGACAACAAATTCGCATTTGGTGGGATTTATTTTCAACTTATGTTCTTTTAGTTTATTGAGGACAATCTCAAGCCATTTGAGGTGTTCTTCAAAAGTTTCTGTTGCTATGATAATATCATCGAGGTAAACGAAACAATGCGGGTAAATTGAAACAATCCTAGTCCAGGTATTGCGAATGCAGTTTTCTCTTTACTTTCTTCGGATAGTGGGACTTGCCAGAATCCTTTATCTAAGTCTATTTTAGAAATGTATCTCGCTTTTCTTAATTTGTATAAAATAGCATCCATGTGGGGAATAGGGTAACTATCTTTTTTCGTGAGGGCATTCAACATTCTAAAATCTAGGCAAAATCTGTATTCACCGTTGGGTTTTCTAATCATGACTATTGGGTTGGACCAATCACTAGAGGAGGGCTCTATCACTCCATCTTTCAACATCTTTTTAACTTCGGCTATAATGGCTTCCATAACTTTGGGTGAAACCATATAACATCTCTGTTTTACAGGGGCATGGTTCTCTGTGTTTATGGAATGAATGGTCAAGGTAGTTAATCCGGGCTCATCGGGTATTTCGGGCAAATGCAATTTCAGAAACGTTTCTAACTTTTCCATTTGTGAAGAAGTTAATTCAATTAAACCGGCACAATTTTCTAAGGAGTCATCTTCCCTCTTTTCAAAATGATACATTTTCTTTGGTTTATTTTTATAAAACCAAGATCTAGTCACGAAATCAGCTTGTATTTTAAAATACTTGAGGAAGTCTAAACCTAATACTAAGGGTTCAGATAGAGAGTCTAAAATTCTCACGCGTAAAGGCTTAGTTTGTTTACGTAACTCAAGAGGTAAAGTAATTTCTTTAGACACGGTTAATATTTGTCCATTGGCCACTTGTACTGTACCATCTTTTTCGCTAACGGGAAGGTTAAGATCTTTGATAATTTCAAGTCCTTGGGGTCCAATGAAGCTTCTAGATGCTCCGCAATCTACGAGGGCTTTCATCTCGTGATTTTTAATATGGACTGTAACATAGAGTAAAGGTTCTGGAGTAGAAGGTGCTGAATGAGGATACTGTAAATTTGAAATTTTATAGCAGGTGGTCGGAGGACGGCTCTCCTGGACTAGTGTTAGGTTGAACAGGGCGACTGTTATTAGCGTTATTTATCAAAGGGGTTTGATTCTCGGTAATAGTATTCGTAGGTGCACCGTCTGCTTGATTATTTCGAGGTTAAGTGGGAACAGTGTTTTCCTGATTTAAGGGACTAGAAGCTGTAGCTGTAGAAGCATCAATAATTTGTTCATGAGATGCATTCAAAGGAGGATTAGTGGTGACACTGTTTCGCGAGTCTGGGTTTTGTGATGGTCTTAACTCATCACTAGGAGGAGTAATAGGAGGAGAAGTAATTTCTGAAGGTCGATTGGTACGTTCATAATGACGTAAACGTCTTTGCCGTTCATCTGCCGATCCTTGGACGGACAAGCCTCTATTGGCAAGTTCTACTTCTAGATCTCTGGGATTGAGATTATCAATCCAGGATCTGGACGGTTGACTCATAACGGTCTCTAAAAGAAAATTATTTTGGGGTCAAAAAAAAAAATTAAATACAGTAAGGGATGATTTTAGAATATGCATTAAAGGAAAAGCTGGAATTAACCTGGGATTGATTCTGGGCGGTAATGCTATCGTAGCTGTTTGCAAACGAGCATTGGCAATAAAATTTGATGTTTAATAATTAATAGTAATAAATGAGGAGGATAATTTTCTAATAATTGTTATTATGAAATTTATGATAGGGAATTGTCGATTATACTTCCAAAATTTCTAAAATTTGAATCATCAATAATTGTTGTAATGAAGTGCAATAAACAAAAAAAAATATATAATTTTAAATGGCCGAGAATTATTCCAAGTTCAATTCTTGACTCCTTTCGAAACTGTGATCCAGAATTTTATAGTTACGATGACTATTTAAATGAAATTTAAATCTTTTTAAAGATTAATGAAATAATTAGAAATTCTATTGATTATTAATAGTTAAAAAAAATAAAAAAAATAGAAGGCATAAATATGTTACAACGTAATTATTGATGAAAACAAACCACGAACAGAAATGTTACAACGTAATTATTGATGAAAACAAACTACGTACGGAAATGTTACAACGTAATTATTGATGAGAATAAATTACGGCCAGAAATGTTACAACGGAAAATACCTTATCAATGGTATCACCATTATGGTTACTGCGGATGCGAGCAGAAAAATATCATAATTGTCCACAAAAAAAAATTCAAACGGAAAAACTTTATAACTTTATTGGGGTAAAAAAAAATAATGATTATATAACAATTTAAGTTGATTATGATAAATAATTTATCATAAATATTTGATTAAATATTAAACGTAAAAAAAATTATTGTAAATCTCTCGAGTGGAGCGTCGCATAGCAAAATGTAAGTCAGGTCACAATATCTCCCTAATTGAATTATTAGGACACCAGGTATAAATTTGAAATGAATTTATTTCAATGTGGGAAATATTTCTTACTTCCGTTTTGCTTATTTGCAAATTTCTCACACGATAAAAAAATTAAATCAAGTAAAAAAAAAGGCTTTATGATATTCAATTATTAGAACACCGGGTATAAACTTGAAATAGATTTATTTCAATGTGAGAGATAAGTATTAGGGACTTTTCATAATACTTGATCATTGGGGCACTGTGTATGAATTTGAAATGGATTTATTTCAATGTGGGAGATAAGTATTAGGGACTTTTCATAATACTTAATTATTAGGACACTGTGTATAAATTTGAAGTAATTTTATTTCAGCAAGTAACTAATTATTTGGGAAAAATTATTAAGTTTGGTTTTGGTAATAGGGCTATTATTAATATGGTGTTATGTATTATGGACTTTTCATAATACAGATTATTTGGACACCCGGTAGAAATTTGAAATATTTTTATTTCAGCACAAAATTAATTAAAAAAAATTATTAAATTTGGTTTAAGTAATGGGACTATTGCCAATGTGGTGTTATGTATTATGGACTTTTCATAATACAAAATTATTTGGACACCCGGTATAAATTTGAAATATTTTATTTCAGGTGTACGAATTATTTTTGGGAAATTATTAAATTCGATTTTCGTACAAGTTTTACTTATGACTGTTTACAAGCACACTGTAAACGTATGAGTCATCACCGACAAGTGTAAAGGGCACAAAAGAAATATTCAAAACACAAAAATCAATATATACAAAATACACAATATACAATAAAATAAATTCTTTTAAGAAATCCTGAAATACAATTTTGTACAAGACATGATATATAAAATTCATAAAATAATTTTCTTAACCTGAGAAAATTGTTTGAGCACACAAAAAAATTTTAATTTTTGCTAAATGGGCAAAAATATAATTTTTCAAAATTGAATATGATTTTCTACTTTGGCGTGGCCCCACATTGGGCGCCAAAATTGTAACCAGACCTTTTTCAACAACAATAATTATTATAAACAAACGGGCCTAATTTACAAAACAGGGGAATATTTATAAACAAACAGAATTTGTAAACAAAATTTATTGTTATGCAATAAATAAACAAACAACAAATTAAATACTTACTATAAGCCAAAGGTTTCAGGTCCGAACAAATAATTTTGAAATTAATAATAATAAAAATATCTTGATAAAATATTAAAAATAAAAGAATTTTAAATAAACAAAGTGTTGAGCGCCAGTCCTTTCTTGGGACAGTTTCAAAATTACGGATACTAAATATCCAGGATAAACAAAATAAAAGGTACTAAATACCCAAAAAAAAATATAATAATAGAACTAAATTCTATAAAAGATATAGCAACAAAAAAAATTAACTTATTAAAATTCTTAAATTGAAATTCTCCAAGATAAATATTAATTTCGATGCCGGTCGACTAGCAAAGAAGGAGGAGGGAGGATTCGAGAAAATCATATTCAAAATATCACATTAAATAAAGATTTATTATAACATTCAATTATTTGGACAAATTTTACAATTAAACAAAGTGTTCACATAGATAAACAATTTTTCATTAATTATCATAATTAAATTAATGTGGTCAGCCAAAATTCGTAACGCAAAATCGTAATACAAAGAAGATAATAGGGCAAATTAAATAAAATTGGTCAAATCTCATTTTATAAATAATAGGGTTTTCTTCCTCAATCAAAAGAGGGACAATTAAATGGGACAATTCCATATTAAACAAGAACAGGGACAAAATTAAATGCAATATCACTAGTAAAAGGGACAATTCTATACACGAAATTTATAGTATTTTTATTTAATAATTCAAGGGACAACTAAATATAAATGGAACAACTCCATTTGTTCAAAAAGGGATTTTCTTAGCAAATTAAGAAAGAAAAAGGGGAAGAAATTGTAAACGGTACGACTTCATTTACAATTTTCACAAAATTACACTAATAAAAGATAAATAACAACAAATTAAATAATTAAAATGAAATAAAAGGGACAAATAGTAAAATGAGAGACTCTGGGCACATGGTTGAGTAAGAGTAAAAGAAATTAAGACGCTATTAACACACTCTTACTTAACCATGAGGCCGGCTGAACCACTTGTTACATTAAAAGGAAAATTTTACATTTCACAAATAAAAAGAAGATAAAAGAGCAGTTATTACACTTACATTACGCACTTACAGCGAAGATCCTCCAAAAAGAGAAAGAGCGATGAATATCGTCGATCACACAAAAAAAGAAACTATAATAATTTTGAATAAAAGAAAAACTAATAACACGATGTAGACTTCCTTCAGAGACGGCTGTTTCCTCAGTCGGTAGAATCGAAAGAGAGCGATAAGGATTTTTCTTGCGAGCATGCTGCCTGGATTCCTCCCCTCCGTTTTCCCCGCCGGTTACCATGGTCCTAAACTAGTATTACTCCGCCGAAATCAGGAGCGTAATTACTTTCAAAATCAGTGACACCGGGGTATAATTTAAGTTGTAATGTCTTGCTTCCTGAAATTTTTTTTACTTTTCAATTCTTAATTTCCTTGTCGTCAACCTCCAGAATTCTCTAAATGTCATTGATAAAAGAAGGCAAAAGGTAGGTTGATTTCTAAAAAATCAAAAGGTAATATTTTATCCAATGACAAGAGAATTCGGGCCTGGGCAAAAGGTGTCTCTTCATGAAATATAGAGAAATGACAGGGACTATCCTGTTTAATAGTCGATCTCTTAACATTTTGAAATTCCATAATAATTGGTAAATATAGAAAATAAATTCTAATTTATTCAAAAGGTTATTTGTGAGATGACTTTTTGTGTAGGTTGAATTTAAAAAGTGACAGGTATATCGAGTCAACTCGATTTTCATTTGGTTAACGTTGTAATTCTCTGCTGTGGGTAAACGTGATGAGGAATCTGCGCAGGTGCGATGATCGTTCTTTTCTGCTTTAATCGAGAAACGCGCTAATTTTGAGTTTTCTGAATAATATTTTCAAGAGGGAGAATACGATAACATAGATAAACAAATTAGATAAACAAATATTTTACCAAAGCTGAGAAATTGTTATTGTTTTTGTTAATCGGCGCAAGGGAGTTTATTTGTTTATAAATTTTTAGTTAAAATTTTGTTTACAAATTTCTTAGAAAATTTGCCACGTTACAAGGGAAAAATAGAGATAAATTAAACAAAATTAAAGGTTTAAATTCGTTCCCTAATGAAGGTGCATCTTGCAGTTGGGACATGGGTGACGAGGTAGTTGATAACAAGAGTAGAGAGATACCACACATTTAGAAAGAGGATAGAATAGGAACTGGAGAATTAAATGAGAAAAACTCATTCAAACTATTGACATGGGATGAAGGAGAGAGTAAGAATGAGAAAGACTCATTTAATTTTTCATTTAGGAATTTTTAGGTCAAGAGTGGGGATAGTGATCCACTCTATAAGCGGAGTTTAATTGAGGGGATGAATGATACTAATAAAGGATCAGTATCAATGGTCCAAGGGAGGGGAGAGGTTGTGAAGGGCACAACTGACCCATACCTTGATATTGACAAGGAAGTAGACGGAAGCCGACTGGCAAATCGATACTTTTTTCGAATGCACATCGGCAACAATTCTTATGAGGCACTCTTTGACCCTGGAGCGATGATATCTGTGATCAGCGACAGAGTAGCAGAGCCATATAGGAACCGACTACAGCCATGTAATACCTTAATAAGGAGCGCGATTGGTGGCAAGAAAGAGACAGCAGGGTTATTAAAACTGAATATAACAGTAAACGGGCATTTAAACCAGTTTGACGTTAAAGTTCTCAGTTCAGTTACACAAGACATCATTCTGGGCATTAACTTTTGTAAAGTTTGAAATATGGAAGTTCAACTTGGACCTGGTCTCTGGAGAGTATTTGATGGTGATTAGCATGTATTTTGTGTCAAGAATGTTATCAAAGGTGAAGAAGAAATCTATGCTAAATGTGCTGGTATCTCTGCGTTGACCGATCCCACAAAGCACAGACATTTTCTGCAAATTTGCTGCAAGTTTTTCATGCAATTTTCGCAAGTTTTCAGCAAACTTGCATAAATATAAAAATGTCACCCACTTGGCAAATTTGCAGCAAACTTGCGCCAAATAGCAGAAACTTAAATGTATGCGCAGTAGTTTACTATGACATCTAGAGCTGCGCACTATATTTTAGTTACCTTCCATGCAGGAAAGGCATTGTTCATCAAAATATATGCAATTTGAAAAAAATTGTTTAACCAATTTTTTAGGTATTTTAGAAAGTTTGCTGCAAATTTTCCTCAAGTTTTTATTGTAAACTTGCCAAGAGGGTAACATTTTTATTTGTATGCAAGTTTGCTGCAAACTTGGATGCAAACTTGCGAACTTTGCATGGAAAACTTGCAGCAAACTTGCAGAAAAATACTGTGCTTTGTGTAACAAAAGGATATTATTCAAGACCTAGTGAGAAGATTGGTATTACCACCATCAGAAGAACTACTAATGACCAACTTGACTGAACATCACATCAGGGTAACTGGCGAAACACCTGTCCAACACAGACAAAGACGTTTGTCGACAATAATGATTACTTGGTCACAGAAAAAAAAGCAGAACTGTATAGAAAAAAGTAATCGACCCATCATGCAGCAATTGGAAGACAGCTCCAGTTTTGACGCCTAGAGGGAATGGTGATTTTTGACAATGTTTTGACTTCAGAGACATGAATAAGGTCACAATAAAGGACATGTACCCATTACCGACCATTGACTCGATTTTGGACAAATTGAGAAAAGCTAGATACATCTCAAAAATTGACTTGACGCTAGCCTATCACCAAATTCCATTATCTCAAGAAAGCAAAAAGTATACAGCTTTTGCTATTCCAGAATCAGAACTTTGGCAATACTGCCGAATGCCTTTTGGACTTGTGAATGCTACGAGTACATTTCAGAGACTAATTGACTCTCTTTTTGGACCAGAAGTTGAACCTTATGTGTTCGGATATCTTGACGATATCATCATCGTGACGGACAACTTTGAGGAACATATAAAAAGGTTAGAATTTGTTTTAGAGGAACTTAGAAAAGCAAACCTGGCTGTAAATCCTGACAAGTGTGAATTTGGATGTTCATAAGTCCGATATTTGGGATATTTATTGGACGAGGAAGGATTACGACCAGATCCAGAGAAGACTGAAGCAGTACGAAGCTATCCACCACCTACAAATGTCAAGCAACTAAGGAGATTTCTAAGAACGGTTGGAAGGTATTAAAGATTCATTAAAAATGACAGTGAGATCAGGCTGACACTTTTGAAGATGCTGCATAAAGGACGACCATGGGAATGGGGAGACGAACAACAGGAAGCCTTCGACACTTTAAAGATGAAATTGACGACAGCACCAGTAATCGCTCGCCCTGACTTTAGTTTGCCTTTCACAATACAGTGTGATGCAAGCAGTTATGCCCTTGGCGCCGCGCCGTTTTGACTCAGGAGTTTGATGATGGAGAACATCCAGTGATGTATATCAGCCGAGTGTTGACTGGGGCTGAAAGGAACTATTCTGTGACGGAAAAAGAGTGCTTAGCACTCCCTTGGTCTATAAAAAAATTTAGACCCTACATTGAAGGATATAAATTCAAGGCCATTACTGACCATTCAGCTTTGAAGTGGCTAAAGAATTTAAAAGATCTGACTGGACGACTCGCAAGGTGGGCTTTGGAGATGCCTATTGTTGGTGATGAAGATGGATGGAAACTGGCTGTACAAGATAAACATAGACTAAGGATGTTAGACGATGCTCATTCTATTCCATCTATGGGTCACTTGGGAGTGTACAAGACTTATGACAGAGTTGCTAGAGAATACTATTGGCCAGGAATCTGGAACGATGTACATAAATTTGTAACACATTGTGTACAGTGCCAATTACATAAAGTATCACAAGCCGGACCTGTAGGATTGATGGGACAGACAATAGTTGAAAGACCATGGGCAGTAGTTGCGATGGAATTTCCACCAAGTAAGAATAAATATAAATATCTTTTTGTTTTTCAAGACCTATTTTCTAGATGGATCGAATTGAAACCGTTAAGATCTGCAGACGGAAAATCTGTGACCAAGGCCTTCGAAGAATTGATCTTATTCAGATGGGAGACTCCAGACTTCCTCTTGACTGACAATGGGAAAGAATATGACAACAAGACTCTCAAAGAAACACTTGAGGAATATGGAGTGAAGCATATTACAACGCCACCCTATCACCCTCAAGCTAATCCGGTAGAAAGAAGCAATCGGACCTTGAAGACAATGATTTCGACATTTATTGGAAATGATCATCGTGACTGGGATTTACATGTCCACGAATTTAGACATGCAGTCAACACTGCAACCCAAGCTGCTACGAAAACTTCTCCTGCATTTTTAAATTTTGGTCGACATCCTCCACAAGTAAAAAGTTTAAGACGAGAAGTTGAGAATAGGGGCAAAGTACGAAGAATTTTACCTGAAATATGGATTGACAGGATTAAAAGACTTGACGCATTACGTGACTTAGTAACAAAATTTATTGACAAAGAGAAAAATAGACAGACTAAATACTATAATAAAAATCGACACGAAAGTAATTTTAAAGTCGGTGATCTAGTGCTTAGAAAATCTTATAAATTATCAAGTGGAACACAAAAATTTGCAACCAAATTGGCTCCTAAATTCGAAGGCCCATTTGAAATTATTGAACAATTATCTCCTTCTGTTTTTGTATTACAAGCCAATAATAGTCGTAGAAATCCTAAAATTTATATCTCCGAGTTAAAAAAATACTTACCTGTCTAAATTTTGTATGAATTTACTAATTATTTTTATTATTTGTAGCTTTCATCTGATTATGGACAAGGGTGTAGAAAGTTCTCAGACGAAATTCTAGAAACGAATACTATCCTGGATAACCGGAGGAATTCTATTGACGAGGGAAGGAGAGGTGCAAGACTAAACAGACGTTTAATTCCTTATAATTTTGACTCGAAGATGCAACGAAGAGAAACAACGCGTGCACTGCGAAAAATGGCGTCTAAAAATATGACGTTTAGACGTTTTTAAACGTCTTATGTAAATAAGCGTCTTATTTGACCGTCTTAAATGAAAAACATAACCTCCGAATACATGCATTTTAGAAGGCAAATAAGACGCTTATAAACGTCTTAAATGTGACCATGTAAACGTCTTAAACCAAGACGCCCTTTTTTACGGTGTGGCAGACCAACAATCAATCATCACCCGGAAAGAGAATTCCAATATCCGACTGATTTATCGACACCACCTTCATGGCTGGATTTTCCAATAGTAGAACCAGTGAAAAAAAGACAACTTGGAGCAATTTCTCGACAACCTAAACCATCTGGACAAGGAAATCCCCAAATGGAAATTTCAACTTTAGAAGATATTAATCCATCTAATTTACCAAGGGTGTTATCTATAGACGAGAATTCTAAACGCAGACATGATGAAGACTGGTCATAATTTGAAAGTAGATTAGCTGTACAAGAACTAGATCGATTTGTAAAGAATCTGGAGCCAAAGACATCTGTATCTATCGAAAGACTCAGGGAGAGACAAGCAGAAGAGGTGGAAAATAGGAAGACCGTATTAAAAAAGGAAGATATAGTGAGACCAAGTGATGAGGATGAGATTGATACACCACGATCAATTACACCCCCTGGCCCACCTAACAGAATTGACGATGAGGATAATGTTACTTCTTCCAGAATATTGACAAGGGAAGCCCTACCGAGAAAGACAACGGGAAGATTCTTCAATGATATGGAGTCGATTCCAACAGACCCTACATTAGATCCACCGCCTAGGGCTTGCTATCATTGCTGGAGAAAGGGGCACAATCGACCTAATTGCCCAAAGCCGAGTACTGAAAATCATTGTGATAACTGCGGTAGAAAATTCGAGACTGTCGCAACGTGTCCTCGTTGTGCAAAAGGGTACAGAAGGTATCTATTAAGCCGAAATCAGAATCATCAGGAAGAAATTATGGAAAATAAGCCAAAACAACATCGTAGAGAAGGAAATCCGTTGTTGCCCGTTATTTGGACAAAGGAGGTTAAACTTGGAGTAAATGTTTCTGGTATCGCTTCTGGAGAAAGGGCGTGGCAAGTACGAAGGACACCATCACCGACACCGAGCGATAAGACATCAGTGTCTTCATTACGACTTGGGGAAGATGAAAATAGTGCTGTATCTCACATAAGTAAGGCTACTTCTAATATGAGTAAGGAAAGTTGCCGCAAACTTCCCGTCTTTGATATCCAAGACCCAGGTCCACCGCCTCCTTATGAAATAGAAGAACCAGATACGAACAAGAACACGGACTAAGTGACTGCGTTCAAGGAGTTAACGAATGCTATGGAAGGATTACCTATCGCAACTATCAACTTAGCTATTCAACAACTCTTGGAAGAGCGTAAACTGCGATTTGGTAAGAAGACGGACAAATAGTGAGTTTGTGAGAAGAGAACTTTGATTTTCTTTATTTTCTATTCGAATTGGTATTATTGATATTTTTTTTTTTTAGTTGAGTTTTGAGTTGAAGAAAATTTTTATGTTTTAGTTATCTTCGTATTTCAATTTTAATATGACAAATGTTCATTAAATTTGAATTATTAGTTTTTTTTGTAAGACTAAAACTAAATTGTTAAATTAGTTCAAGTCTTAGTGGGGAGTTTTGTGACGAAGTAGTCTCGTCAATTTAGTTATTTTCTTTATTATTTAAATATTCGCGCTATTTTTGACTTAGGGTGTTGGGTGAAGTGAAAACTCCCCTTTATGTGAATATTAGCGGTGTGTTTCTGTTTAGCAGACGACGAATACACACATGTGATAAGGATAGTCTGATTTTTGTATCGAGAGCTTAGACATGGGTATGTGAAGAGAATCGAGTTTAATTATAAGAAATGAAAGTTAATTGAATAAATAATAAGACGAAAGTGTACATTGCTGACTTTATTTATTGTGATTCACCCTATCCAAGGAATATTAAGACGATCAAGGAAATATAGTGACAGCAAGTAGTAAGTAAAAATATTTAAATAAGAAGTCGTGTTTCAAAAAGGTTAATTTTCCCTTATTAATTTTTCTCAACGGAATTTCCTCTGAGATAATGTTATTTTGTAAAGTAGTATTGATTCTTTTCTTTTATTAACAATCTTGTTAATTGTTGAATTATTGTTTTTGTTAGTTTTTCTAATGAACAAACTAACTGGCGTCTAACTATTCACGTTGGTGTTAAATTTGATTTTTGACGAACAAGGGAATTAATAATCTATTTGGATTTTATATATTTTCTAAATTATTGTTAAGAAAACCGTCATAAAGTTCATTTTTAATTATTTGAATTTGAAACCAATATTTATTGAATATTTTGAATATAGTGAAGACTTGAAGACCAACAATTTTTAATTAATAATTGATTCTCTTTCCGTATTTTTACTTACAAAATTTAAAACATAACCTCAAATTTTTTGCTTCTTAGGTACCTTTCTTGGGAGCGCGTCATATTTCCTTTTGTTTTATTATACCAACCTCACATAACCTTGGAGTGCGGAATCCAATGTATTTGTAGGCAGATTTCCCAAAATTCCCTAAGCAAAAGAAAATCCACAATTGCGAAAAGGTGCGATTCCACAATTACTCATGGGACGATCAGATAAAATAGTAAGAAAACGTCCATTGCTTATTGGTGAATATGATAAATCTGATAAGTCAACAAAAAATAAAAAACGCAAATTAACTGATGAAGTCTTAAATAAAGAGGAAATATATTTTAATAATGACGGTAATAACAATGGAAGTACTGACACTAATAATGGATTGGATTCCCCCGAGGAACATCTTTCGACAACTGCATGAAGAGCAGTGCAATATTACAATTTCAAATTCTTAGCGCAGAGTTCCGATTTTTAATAAAGTTAAAGCTGTATATTTTATACAGCTTCTTGCAAAAAGAGGTGAGAATAATCGTATTTATACTGTCTGTCTGTGCAAAAGAACTAATTAAAGTTCCCACAATTAATCTTTAGTATATACTGCATTTTTTATACATTAAAAAATTTGTTGTTCTTTTGTCATTTACAATTATAATGATAACCGGCAACAATTCACGTGTTGACGCGCGCGTTTAACTTTTTTTGTAAAATATTTTATGCTTCTTTTTAGAAAAAATGTCCAAAAGCCTGAAACTTTAAAAAAAATTTGTTATATTTTGTACTCACGTGGAAATTTTTAGTAGGGAATATTATATAAATGCACAATAAATATTTTTTTATATTTGTATTTAATTATTTCAATTAGACATTTATTATTAAATCTTTCTTTGTAACAATTTTACTATTTTTTCTTGCCTATTATACTAAGACTAACTTCATGAAATATTTTAATATTCAAGAATTCATTTTTCGACAACTTTAAAAATAATCAATTGATTAAAACTTTTTATTGTAAAGGTTTAACTGTAAGAAAAAATATATATGAACAACAAATATATGTATGAAAATTAAAGTAAACTAAAAATAATATAATATATATTCATAACTCGTCAACTTCATACTGCCTGTGCGGGCAGGCAGCATTAAAACTAACATAAACATCCAGTTTATTATATAGAGTAGTACCGACAGAAGTGGACCACACTTTGGTTTTCATGCTTTAGATTATTCAGAAATTAACATTTTTAAACATTTATTGCGTTTATTTGTAGCAGAGGCGTAGCCAGGGGGGTTTAGGGTATCATCCCCCCCGAAATTTTGGAAAAACATATATGTTAAAGCCTAAATTTCTAATTTTATTCTGAGTACACCTCTTATAAAATTCCATAACCCCTCCCGAAACTTTTTTTGGCTACGCCCCTGATTTGTAAAGAAAGGGGTTACCTAACTTTAGGTAAAGACAAAGGACCCCGCACAATCATATGAGAAATCTGGCCCGGTCAGAATTGTCTGTAATAATTTTTGATCAGGATATTAAAAAGTAATTATTTTCAAAGTTACAGACAATTCAGACCGGGTTCAGATTTTCCATATAATTGTGCGGGGTCCTTTAAAAAAATTTTAATTTTAACATATTGTTTAACATCTTTTTGCAAAAAAAGAGAAATTTGCAATATCATGATTTTGTAGACAGAAGTGGGCTACCTAAGTTTTTCATCTAAAATAAATAAAAGTATCAAGCACTATGATTTTTTATGTTTAATGATTAATTTTTTCAATAAATAGTATTGTAAAACCAAACACAAGCAGTCCGTTTCGAAATTTTATTAATTTTTATTTGACTTATAGTATAAAGTAATTTGTTATAGACAATGAGTTCATAGTCAGTCGGTTTAGCCTTTCTTGGTGTCATGATTGCTAAATAATACAAATTAATTCATAGAACCATTTTATTAGTTTATTCAAAATCACTAAATCTCGAAACGGAACGTCAATGGAGTGGCCTACTTCTGTTTATAGAAAATGTCCCACTTCTGTCCACAAGCCTAATTTGACGAGAAATAACGTGGTCATAACACCTACGAACAATATGAAACAGTCCCTTTAAATTTTTTAAGATTAGGTCTGATACTATAATAAAGGCTACTTACCCGATTGAATTCGATGAATAACTTATGTAAACAACGATAACTTTTACAATGAGAAGAAAAGAAAAAGTAGATAATTTTTTGCACTAATTGCTGGAGAACACAATTGTACGTCGCACACTTTAATGACTAACTGAAAATCGACCTTCTGTTAATAACAAAAGAAAAAAATTTCGGTTCACAGATATGTTACTTGTAAAACCAAAAACGGCAAGTGGCCCACTTCTGTCAATGCTACTCTACTATTTCATTGCTTATAAAAAAATCAATTTTATCATTTTTGGGGCCCCTGGTTCACCGGGGCCCCGAACAATCTAACCCCCCAAACCGTCTATTGCTACGCCACTGTCCAGAACTGAGAAGTAAGCGGCCAAAAGTGGATAAGTCAATTTTTTTACTATTTCGAGAAATTTAAACAAATGCAATTTGACACATAACCAAAGTTAATTTCAAAATATAAAAAATATATACTGAATTATTTATATCAGAATAATTTTTTGGACTTAGAAGTCTCATTATTAATTAAAGTAAATTATAAATAAAAAAATTTATAATTTTGGGCATTTCTTTAGTTAAAAAAACTAAAATTTTAAATATTGTTGGTTAAGTACAAATATTTTTAAATTAATATAATTCTTTATTAACAATTTTTTTTCTTAATGTAACAGTGATTATTTGGAAATTCAATTAATTATCATTCTCGGAAAGTGTAAAGTAAAATTTTTTTAAAAAATGAACTTATCAACTTTTAGCCGCTTGCTCCTCAACTAAGCTTTCAAAAATCTTGGAAATAGTACTTAAAATGCAGATAGGGCGATAATTAGATACATTTTTTCTGTCTCCGTTCTTGTAGACTGGCACTATAATGCCTCTTTTCTAAATTAAGAGAAAGATACTGCTATCAAGAGACCAATTAAATAAAATAAATAGAGGATCAACAAAAACTGAGCTACATGACTTTAAAATGCATGGCGGTATATGATCAGGATCAGCACCCTTGTTGACCAGCACCCTCTTAATATTTGCTACAGTGTAGAAAAATACTTCCTTTACTTGATTGAACAGTTAAAACCTTCTATTTTTCAAATTCATTTTCTGGGTTTTGACCAGTTTAGGTTTATGCTGCAAGTTATAATTTGTAAATATTAGTAGGGTAAGTGTACCAATTGCCGAGGGTGTTCCATTTGTCGATGTTACCATGGTAATAACCAAAAAATATTGTCTAAAATGTCTCATTTGTTTGTTTATGTAATATTAATATATTTTTTTCACATTTATAACGCATAAAAAAATTAATATTTATTACTTTTTTTCATTTACAATGTGCTACACTGTTTAAATAAAATTCAAAGTTTGTTTACTCGACAACAGGAACCATCCTCGACAATTGGTACGTTTACCCTAGTGTAATAATTTTTAACAAATATTAAGTTATTATTCAAAGTACTAAATTCTTTCCTTCTAAATGTCAAATTTATTTGTACACTCGATGCACAGAAAAAAGTAGACGTACTTTACTATTTGCTATTTTTTTAAAACTTAATGCAACGTTGAAGTGGACTAAATGTTGCGTTAAAAATTTTTATCTAGTTTTCCAGCTTTATAAATTTTAATATAATGTATTCAAAATATCTCTAGACTTTATTTAGTGTTGCCAATAGAAAAGCTACATGTGCAACACGTATAGATTAAAGGAAGAAAATTTAATTTGTTAGCACATAAAATATATCTATATATGAATTTATGTTTTGAAAATATTTGTTATACTTTGAAAATTTAATATTATTATCGTGTAGAATAATTTTACCCTAAAGAGGCCAAAATTTGTTGCTATTTAATTTGTTCAATAGAAATTAATTCACAATTATTAGCAAGAATATTGTAATGCAAAGATTCTAATAATTTTCTTTCACATAAATAAACCAATTACTCAGTTTTTGCAAATTTTTTAATATTTCATTTTCATATTTTTTTGATATTAGAATGAATTATATGAATACTATGTCTACTCAATTGACCGTTATTGTTATAAAATATTAAATAGAATTTAATAAATATAATTTCATGAAGTATTAAAATATTTAAAAGTTATCGACTTATGTCCAATTTTTTTTAAATATTTCGTTTTATTTCTCAATTGAGGCTCCGGATCTTAAAAGGGCACTTTCCGCATAGACTTTACATGGTGAAAGTGCCCTTTTAAGATCCGGAGCCTCAATTATAAAATTACACATCTATCTTGAGCCTTACAACTGCATACAAGTGTTTTACAATAGTAGAACATTTCTTATAAATACTTATACTATAATTTAATACTAAATGTTGCGTTCACAAAGCAGAGTCTCACAACCAAGCTATATACTAACGGTAATTTATTTCTAATTTTAGTTATATATTTTGGAGAAGTTGAACTTATTATCCCTATTATATATTAGATTTATACTGTTTTCATTTATTATTAGTTAGTAATGCTAAAACACTACAAATTAATACAATGCTGCACAAAAATTGATAGCTTTCTATACATATTTATTAGCTCCACAAGCATGTACGTATAATAGACCTAGAAGATAATAATTCATTAAAGTGTTTTATAAACAAAAAATGATTGAATAAAATTCTCTTAAGCAGAAGTAGATGAAAATAATTTTCCTCTGGGTCCGATGGACTCAGCTTGTGCAGGATACAGTTTATGAAGATGTTAGCAATGTAGAAAAAATATCAATAATTTAATTGCACTTTGCTTTTTTATAGGTTTTGACAACAATTTTCTAAACGCATTTAAACCTAAATAAAGAATAACTTATTTCATAAATTTTATATTTTAAAAAATTTTTAAGTTATGTGCGATTTACAGTTATCGCCCAAGAAAAACTGTACTGCCTGTTTCATATGACGTGAAATTAGTAAACAACCGTTTTCTAACGAGTTTCCCTCTGCATACAGGCACTTTTTACAAAATCTGACAACGTAAATTTGTCACAAATGTTTTTAAGGGAGGAACCTCATTTATTGCGTCAAAAAATAGATTTTTTGGTAATAATTTTAATCGATTCTACAACTATTCAAGAATATACCTTTTAAATTTTAAATCGATATCTGTATTATTGAAGACGTTACAAAATTTTTATTTATTTAATAAAATAAATTAAGGCAAATTATCTACTCCATCGTCAGGGCATATAAATAATTTAAGTCTTCGTATATTTTAATTATTATTTTTTTGTAAGATAATTATACATTAATTTTTATTTTATGTATTTATTGTTAAATTATTTTTTTTATTATTTTTATTATTTTAATTATGTATATAGTTTTTATTATTATTTAATTTTGTATATTTTTTTAGATAGACTCCCTGAAGAGGAAATCATTTAGATTTTGAAACGTTGGAGTAAATAAATATTTTATTCATTGAATGTTTATTGAACCAATCAGGCTTTATGATACACTGGAGCTTCACTTATTTTCAGTCTCACTTATTTGTATTCGCACTTATTTTTACAATTTCCAGTCTCACTTATTTTCAGTTAAGGGGGTCACGCCGTGTGATAGGTTTAAAAAATCGAAAATTTTTTTTTCCATAAATCACATCTACAATATGTGTAGAATATGTGGGTAAAGAGGATTTTTGATATTTGACATCCTAAGAAAGTTACAACACTGAGAAGACAAGAAGTTGCCAAGCGAACAATGTATTACTTAAATTTTGATAGGCGTTTTTCTCAAAACTGTGTTTTTCAAACTGGCGTCCATGATATCTCAAAAACGGCTTGACCAATATCGTACAAATTTATAGAGCGTGTTCAGTACATATATGGCTATCGCCCAAACGGCGTTTTTATAATCATCATCACTTTTCAGTTTTATAATTCGGAATCATTAAAATATTTTTACTTGCAAAAATTTTAATTTGTTGTTAAAATGTAACTGAATATATGGTAAAAATTTTGAAGTCCTAAGTTTCCATTGTTTTTGAAAAGAAAATCCAAAAAAAACTCTTAAAAAACGTCTGCCACACAAGGTGACCCCCTTAAAAGGTTCTCCGTGCGTTCTCATTGGTTGATGTTAAAGAATCCACCAATCAAATCAACTCGAATATTACGTTTCAGAGTGAAAATAAGTGCAACTCTGCCTTTCAGTTTGTTTGGACTTGGTGAAAATAAGTGAAGCTCCAGTGTAACTCATTTTAAAGATAATTAAATAATCTTTAATGTGACTTTTAGTGTTTCTTGAAAATTTTTTTTTCATATTTATTTGGAATTTTAAAGTCAATTTTATGCACGAAAAATCACTTTTAACTTAAAAGTGGGTATAAAAATCAATTCTCGAATTTTTTTTAAATCGAAATGTCACATCGGAGGTGGGTCAAATTTTCTCAAAAAAATCAAAGTTGGTCATGGGTCTTTCAATTTTTGTGAAACTTGGTATAAAGGTATAAACTTGGTATAAACACTAGGTAGTGTTTTATGATAGAAGATTTTTAAAAATTTTCAAAATTGTGGATTTTACCGAGCATTAAACATTAAAGTACATTTTTTTGAAAAACGAATAACTTTTATCCATTTAGTTAGAATTTGTTTATATTTTAAGTAATAATAGTTGATTACACAAGCCTGCAAAAAAATAAAACTTTCCGTTGTCTGAGATCAAGAAGTCATTTCCCGCAGTATTTGGTGCGCTGAATCCGAATCTGGCAACGAAAACCTCCCATCACGTCAGGATTTTGAGAAAAGTGGGGGTAAATTTCCAAAAATAATGTTTTTCGCAGTTTTTGAAAATTTCTACCAGGTAAATCCGACGTGCTAGAGACTTTTCATAGGAGTCAAATTAAAGCTTGTCAGATTTTCAAAATTCAAAATGTCGGATCCAGTATGACGGATTACTTGTTAAAAATTGATTCAAATTGCCTAGAATTCGTTACTCGAGGGTTTTCGGGTCGTTGATTATGAATCTAACCACAGATTTATTATTTTGACATCATATTTATAATCAGCGACCCCAAAAACCCCAGAGTAAAGAATCCAAACATTTTTGAAAATAGTTGTATTTACGGACAGTGTGAGTCCATTTTTATGCTTGCTAACTGTTAAAAAAATCATTTTTAACGGCTAAATTAGTTTGTTGTTAGCAATATCGCTATATCTTCGTAAAGTAGAGGGTTCAAGCTTTAATTTGACTCCTATGACAAGTCTCTAGCAGACTCTTTAGATTTACCCGGTAGAAATTTTCAAAAACTACGAAAAACATGGTTTTTGGGAATTTACCCCTACTTTTCTCAAAATCCTGACGTGAAGGGAGGTTTTCCTTGTCCGATTCGGATTCAGCGAACCAAATACTGCGGGAAATGACTTTTCAATCTCAGACAACGGAAATTTTTATTTTTTTTGCAGGCTTGTGTTATCTAACAATTAAAAGTGCAATATTAAACAAAAAAATCCAAAATTTGCCCTGAAAAAAAGTAAAAAAAAATTGATTTCATTTTTTCGGGCATAAGCACCCCTTTGATATTTTTTAATAACTATAATATTTGGATTCGTTATCTTCTCCAGAATTTTTTGCAAAAAAAAATTCCTGGAGACATTAAAATTAACCGAAATATCGAATTTTTTGTCTCGAGGTGCACAGATATCGATTTCACGTAAACAAGCTTGAGATATGCACCAAACGTTCTCAAGCATGAATTTTCGCATTTTAATTACAAAAGTCTCCAGAAATTTTTTTTTTTGCAAAAAATTATGGAGAAGATAACGAATCCAAATATTATAGTTACAAAAAAATCGAAGGGGTGCTTATGCCCAAAAATATAATATCAAATTTTTTTTTGACTTTTTTCCGGGCAAATTTTGGATTTTTGTTTGTTTAATATTACACTTTTAATTGTTAGATAATCATATATTATTACCTCAAATATAAACAAAGTCTAACTAAATGGATAAAAGTTATTTGTTTAAAAAAATGTACTTTAATGTTTAATGCCCGGTAAAATCCACAATTTTGAAAATCTTTAAAAATCTTTTTTTCCTAAAATCTATTGTCATAAAAGACTACCTTTATACCAAGTTTCACAAAAATCGAAAGACCCATGACCAACTTTGATTTTTTTGAGAAAATTTGACCCAGGTATTATCCTATTATTGAAAATTCCGTCATAGTAATCGACATAGTAACCGACACAATAAACTACATCGTAAACGACGTCGTTTACTATGTAGTAACCGACGTCGAAAAATGGGATAGTATACTACGACGTTTACTACGTACGTTACTATGTCGTTTACTATATTTTTACAAAATCGTTATTTTTATTTTTATATTATTTATTATGGTATATTTAAATAAAAAAATATTTAATTTAAAATTATTAATATTATTTTGTATATCAAATCTATCACTACATATCTTTAAAATAAGCATATTAATGTATTATACTTTTTATATTTTTCAATGAAATTTGAGAAATTTATCACATGCATTTTAAAATAAAAATTTTGTTGGGAACATTCCAGCAACATTGGTAATGTTAAGGCAGTGTTCTTAATATTGCCGTAATATATTACGTGCTTCTGGAAAAATGAATAATATATAATTATGTATTTGTAACATTCTGTATTTTTAAACTTTTATGTTAATTATAAAACGAACAAAACTAAAATTATAATAAATTTTTTATAATACGTTAATAATTATTTTGTTAAATATTAAATTGCACTTTTTTATCACTTTCTTCGAACATCATATAACTTTGCCCTCATATATGTTGAAACTTGGAGCATTCTTTTAGCTCGTTGTTTAGGTTTCACCTTTTCCTCCACAAGTTTATTGTCCAGGCAATCTACAAAAAACGAAAATTAATAAAATTGAAAAAGGGTTTATTTTACTGACAACGAGCTGATCATTGTCGCAAATAAGCACTTTAAAAAAGTTTAAAGACAGATAACTTACAATAATAAATGTATAAATAAGATCTTTTCCATATTTGATTCCCTTTTTATGCAATATAATTCTTGTCGTGGAGATTCAGATAATTTATGTTTTTTTTACTATGAAGGGCAAAATTTTACCTTGTAATAATTGATATTTTACAGGAGTTAATGGTTTTCTCAATTCTTCTTCTGGACCATCTTGTTTGCCCTTATTTGCTCTACGAGGACTCAAACATCTCATCTTCAATTTTTCTGTTCCCCAAATCTTTTGAGCCACTTCTCTGACAAATTTTGAATCATTAAGACTTTTCATTTGCTCCAAAACATTGACGTGGATTTTTGTATTTTCATCAAGGTGTATCTATAGAGAAAAAATTTCATTAGTTTACTATTACTATTAAACACATTTTTTTAACACATTTTTTTTCTATTAATCCCATTAAATGTCCATAATATATTGGAAACTAGAAAAGTTAAGCTTTATTTTCATATAATTTTGATAAAAATCGACGAGGGATGTTTTGAGATATTAAGAATTTCAACTTTCAAACAGGAATTTCTCTACGAAATTGAGAGAAAGTTAAAAAATTAAAATAGCACTAGAAAGTTCATGAAATTCTCTTTCGATTCAGTGTATAATATGTTCCAAATAATTAAATTTATTAGAAAATCGCTCTTCTGCGATTGTTTTTTGTCGTTGGAATTATTTGAAATGAAATGCCTCTATTATAGATTGACTCTAAAAAATTTTAACACAAAATATAATATATACACACTCAATCTTCAGGTCGATTAATATTTTGCAAATAGCGATTATAAGTGTTGTGATTCTCTCTGTGAGGAGTGTGCACATGCCTTGAATTGTCAGGTCCTGCAGGTGTAAACTGCCTTCGAAATGTTGAATTTTCCCCTCCCTCATTTTCTTCTCTTCTTCTTTCAAAATATCATACTTAATGAAACCTTATTTATATTTTAATTAGTTAATTAATAATTTATTAACCTTCAGATTCTGGCGGCGACGGTAAACGTATTGTATCTTCATCTGCGTCCAGTAAAACAGTATCAGATGTTCCATTTCTTTCCATTTCCGAATAGTCATGTTCTTGTTCAACAACTTTTTCAGAAAAATCGAGCATTCTCTTGGTTGTCTACAAATATTAGATCACATGTAATTTATATATTTTTCTGTTTTATAAATTAAAGAATTTTAAAATTGTAAAAATAAATTGTTTTCTATAATATTCTAAGAAATTATTTAATTAATTTATATATTTTTTAAAAATTATTTTCAAACTTTTAATATATGTTGTATAGTTTTTTTAAATTAAAATGATTTATTATAATTTTTCAAATTGATAAAGTATTGTTACTGGTGTAATTAGTATAATATAAATATGGTCTAATACCAGTTTTGGTCTTTTGTTTTGCAATTTCGGATTTTCTTGTTGTCTTGAAGAACAACATTCATTATCTTCCGATAATGAAGGTACAAGTTGTTGTTGAAACGGTGAAAGAACTCTGGGGGTTTCCTTTCTTCTATTTTCATCTAAAAATGATTTTAGTTAAATAATAATTAATTAATTATTATTAAATTATTAACTTTTATTTGTTTATTTTTAATTAACCTAGAGAACTGTTCAGTTCAGAATTAAGTTCATCGCCTTTACTCTGGTCAGACGAAAGATCACTTGATTCATTTGAATCTGAGTCGGGCCAGTCAGGAAGTAAATCATAAAGTTTCTTGCGATTCTCCAACATCCTGGTATGTTTACTCAATATATTTTCATTTTGTTGATGTTTAGCTTCTTTTTGAAGTAAATCGGTTTTTTTCTTCTCCAAATTCTTCGCTTTCTGTAAAAGTAATAACATTTGTACAAATAAATTATTTTTTTTCAAAAGTAAATAATTACAGAAAAAAATGTAATTATATATTATTTTTAATTTGTGTAATTTTTTTTACTAAATTTCAACTGTCGCTTGAAATTTAAATAATTTAAAATGTTTAATATATGTAATCAAATAAATATAAATATAAAGTACAAAATTAAATTTATTAATAAATTATTCTTTTATATAAAAATTAATTAATACCTGTTTTGCTATATTGTTTTCACGGATTCTGTTTGATTGTTTTTTTGAAGTACCTACGTCACATGCAAAACTAAGCAATCTCTTATTAGCAAGTTTTAAACAAGTAGACTCTTTCTTTTTTTCCACATTAGAACGACTAGTTGAAATTAAACATGTTTTCAGAATATACTTGCTTCAAAAGTAATAAAAAAGTTAATTGGTAAAAATTTCTTAATCTTCAGAATTGAAAATATAATAATATTTTTAGTTGTGACCGTTCTTAGTTGATAATAATAAAAATAATAATATAAATAAATAATAAATAATAAATAATAATAAATAATAAATAATAAATAATAAATAATAAATAATAAATAATAAATAATAAATAATAAATAATAAATAATAAATAATAAATAATAAATAATAAATAATAAATAATAAATAATAAATAATAAATAATAAATAATAAATAATAAATAATAAATAATAAATAATAAATAATAAATAATAAATAATAAATAATAAATAATAAATAATAAATAATAAATAATAAATAATAAATAATAAATAATAAATAATAAATAATAAATAATAAAAAAATAAATAATAATAAATAAAAAAATAATATTTTTAGTTGTGACCGTTCTTAGTCGATAATCTAATTTCATAATTACAAATATTAAATGAATAATATTATGATTTACTTACTTCCCAACAATAATATCTGAGCATTTAATAGCATTTCTTGATTTAACCACACTTTGTATTTTTTGGTTTTTATAAAATCGTTCTCGTGTGTCGGAGAAAAATTTTGAACCGCAGATACCAACACGGTTTTTTGTTGTCCATTAGTAAAGTTAACATATGCGTGAGTAAACTTCATTTTTCAGTACGAAACTGAAAAATTTGTTAATGTCTTTTGATTCACATAAAAAACAATTTATTTTGATTTATTCTGAGCATTTATCATGTTTATTTAAAATTGACAGTCTCGTTGCTATGGTAACTTAAGATGGAAAAAAGTCTCATGTATAGCTTGAAAATACTAGAAAGTCTCTATTATTTTTAAAAAACAATTTAAAGAATAAAACTATTCTTTTAGTGCAAACTAAGGACATATAGTGTTGATGTGTTAATTGTTACTAACATCACAATGAGTTCAAAAAAACCAAAAAGGTATAAAAAGTATTTGGAACCAGAATCAGATGTTCCAATTCCGTCAAGTTCATGGCACAGACATAAAAATGAACGTAAAAAAGTGGTAAGTAGTGTAACTCCAAAATGATGTTTTTATAGATGTAAATTTTCTCCAATTTCCTTTCAAAATTTGTTATTTCAAATAAAAAAAATTTTAAATTCCTCTTTTCTGCTTTTAATTAAAAGCCCAAATTTCAAACCATTAAAAAGGCATTAAATTTTGTAATTATTAAATGAAAATTACATGGATATTATCTATTACTATCGTTATTTTAAAACCAAAATGAAAAATAATATAAAAATATTATTAATAATAAAATAAAAATTAAATTAAAAAAATTTTAAATGAATAATTAAATTTTGTTTGTAAATATTATCACTAAGTTTATAAATATATAATTTCTAAACTTATTTATTTTACAAACGTTACTTTTCTAAAAATTAATTACTTTTTTATTTTTAGAAGAAAACTAATGTTCCTCTTAACCTTCCTGATGACGATGAAGAACAAGCAACAGAGAACAATAAGAAAATTGAAATGAATGTCGATAAAGCTTGGGAAAATATTGAAAATACTGAGACCACACAATCTACGGAGGATAATACATTACTATGTGCATATGATGAAGAAACTGAAGAGACGAGAGCATCTGAAGTAATTAACGCACTAGCAGAAGAAATTGAATACATTGAATAAGAACACTTCGCTGAGGTGATATCGATAATATTTAAATCGACTTTCTGTTTTTAAATCATATACTACAGTTTTTAAACATGCAAAGTTAAAAAGTTTTTAAAAATATCTATTAAGTGGAAATAAAATTATTCTAAAATCATCATTTTGTGAATTCAAAAGATTCTCAATAAATATTGAATAATATAGTAATACAATATTAAAATATTAATTACATTATTTTAGAAAAGTAAAAAATTCTAAAGCATATTTTTTAAAAGAAATTTTATATTTTAAAATTGGAGTAATTAAACTATTATGTTGTTATTACGCAATTGAAAAGCTTTTTTTTAATAAAAAAATCTCAGTATAAAATGGTAAAAAAGCTCTAATTTAATGAAAAAAAGCACAAATTTTATATTCGACTCCAAAAATGGTGAAAATAAAATTACAAGACCACAGTCGTTTTTCAAGACACATATTTTATCTGAATCGGGAATTAATTCTAGAAAGTTCTGAGTACCAATACATTTTAAAATTGGAGTAATTAAATTATTATGCTATTATTACAATTTAATGAAAAAAAGCTCAAATTTTATATACGTCTCCAAAAATGGTGAAAATAAAATTACAAGAGCAGTGTCGTTTTTCAAGACTCATATTATTTCTGAATCGGATAGGGTAAATGTGGGTATTATCGAGGAATTTTGTATACGTCATACATCCAAGTGGTTTAAAAATTCTAAAAAAATGTATATAACTTTGTTTTTTTTTTAATAAATATTTAAGCTTTCTTTTCTTTAAAAAAAATTGCCAATGTTATAGAAAATAGTTTTAATCGTTAAATAAATGATTAAATAGAAGACTCCTTTGCTTGTAATTTCGCGGGACTTGTAATGGCTTGAGGGTATTTTCGCGTGTCAAATATCGCGGATGAGTGTATTATCGCGTGGTAAATATCGCGGATAATTTATTTATTGCTTTTTGGATTTTTGTAATAGTTACTTAATTAAAATGTAGTAAATGTAAAAAATTAAAAGGAATAATAATATAGTTTTTAAAAATATAAATATCGCAAGAACTTGAATTAAAAAAAATTGTAAGCATTATAATAAATGGACGATTCAATAGTAAACTAGTATCACAAGAAGAAAGATACTTGGTTTTATTATAATAATTTAATTAGTCTCATAATATAAAATAATACTCTGATAAAATATTCTAAAGCAATTATTATCAAATATTTCTAACGTATAGTCAATTCTCATTTGACACTTTTGCTCCTTTTTTATAGCTATTAAAAATTTTTTCCTTAAATATACAGATCTCACTTACTTTAATTTTTTTATCTTTTCCATTACTCTTTATTTTCTTGCTTGTATTTTGTAACTGTTATAAGATTTACTAAAATTCTGAACGTTCAAATAAACGAAATTTTTATTGTGTCTAAATGTGTTTAACAGTTACTGTGCAAAGTGGAAAAACAATGTTAATTCAACATTTATTTAGTTGAAAATTAAAGTTTTTATATATATATATTCAAAGTACTTTTATTAAAATATAAATTAAAACAAGCAAAAATAATATCGGCTATAATTTCAACGTTTTAAACTTTAGAGACACACTGCTAACCTTACTTTCAAGGGTTATGATAGGAGCCGCGAAAATACCCACATGTTAAAAAAAAGATGTCTCTATTATCGTGACTGTAAATATTTAATAAAAATCAATTTTTTTTAACTAAACAAATTTTTTTTATGAAGAATAACAATAAATTTACCAAAATATAAAAAAAGAATCATCTCTTAGAGTTTTATAGAACATAAAAACAATAATTTTTGTCACCACTGTAGAGTTGAATCTCAAACTCAGGTGAGCCATTTTGAACTTTTTTCAGACAACAAATTTTAAAACATTTTTAATAAATTGATTAATAGAAAAATAATCAAAAATATGATGCATATTATAATGTCTTAGTTGTCAGGTTCAAAGAGTGATTTTTTAGTGTCAAAAATTTTTTATATTATTTGAAATATTCATTAAAATATAAAATACCGCGATAATACCCACACCCGCGATAATACCCACTTTTACCCTATTAATTTTAAAAAGTTCTGAGTACTAATACATTTTAAAATTGGAGTTATTAAATTATTATGCTATTATTACAATTTAATAAAAAATCCGAGATTTTATATTCGACTCCAAAAATGGTGAAAATAAAATTACAAGAGAAGTGTCGTTTTTCAAGACACATATTTTTTCTAAATCGGAAATTAATTTTAAAAAGTTCAGAGTACCAATATATTTTAAAATTGGAGTAACTAAATTAGTATGCTATAATTTTACAATTTAAAAGCTCTTATTAAATAATAAAATGCTCCAATGCATTTTATCTTGGAAAAAACCAAGATTTGATATTCGATTTTAAAAATGGTGAAAATAAAATAACAAGACCACTGTCGTTTTTCAAGACGCAATTTTTCTAAATCGGAAATTATTTCTCGAAAGTTCTGAGTACCAATATATTTTAGAATTGGAGTAATTAAATTATTATGTTATTATTACCCAATTAAAAAGCTCTTCTTCAATAAAAATAGTTTAAATATATTCAGTTAACTTGTTCCGGAAAAATTCTTCTGTAATAAAAAAGCTCTAATTTAATAAAAAAGAAGATTTGATATTCGACTCCAAAAATGGTGAAAATAAAATTACAAAGAAGTGCCGTTTTTCAACTTACATATTTTATCTGAATCGAAAATAATTTCTTAAAAGTTCTGAGCTCCAATATATTTTAAAATTGGAGTAATAAAATAAGTATGTTATTATTACCGAATTAAAAAGCTCTTTTTCAATGAAACTAGTTTAAATATATTCAGTAAACTTGTTCCAAAAAAGCTCTTATTTAATCAAAAAAGCTCTAATTTGACGAAAAAAGCAATTTTTTCTGAATCGGAAATTAATTCTAGCAAGTTCTGAGCACCAATATATTTTTAAATTGGAGTATTTAAGTTATTAATACCTAATTAAAAAGCTCTTCTTTAATAAAAAAGCTCCAATATAGCCAACAAACTTGTTTCTGAAAAATCTTTTCTGTAATATAAAAAACTCCAATTTGATAAAAGCTTGACCTTTTTTATAATTATACAAATCTAAGGCTTTTACTTTGCGTCATAATTGTCATAATATTGTCCTATTTTTTAAAAACAAATACTTACTTTTTGGAAATTATAGTTCTTCTCCGAGTACTAAAATTTCTAAAGTTTCTTGTATACTATTATTATAATTAAAATTTTTATTTTAGAAACAACATCAAGAGATTGGTTCTGATGATGACGATTATTTTATAGATGCAAGCGATGAGATGTGTGAAACAGAAGATTGTGAGGAAACTATTGAAGACGATCGAGATTCATCAATACAGGAGAAAGCCGAAGACCTTTTATCACCGAGAGGTTATAAGTCCCTTTTTGAAGCTATAAACATCGAAGCTTTTAAAAGACCTATTAATGTCTCTGTAAACAAAACACTGGGAGAAGTAATGCTAATGGTTTTAAAATTTATACTCGTTCACTCCCTTTCATTAACAGCTATTACCGATTTATTTAACTTAATTAATTGCATTTTTAGTGAATCTTTTTTACCAAATACGCGGTATCTCATTGATAAGTTGTTTTATCCGAAAAATAATACGAAACTCTATGCAATATGTCCGAAATGGAGTGCTTACATAGGCATCTTTGAACGAAAAAATACTTTTTTAAAATGCAAAATATGTAAGTTGAAATTTAATTGCAAAGATTACGCGTATAAAGATTTTTTTGTATTGATGGACGTGACGCATCCAATTTCTAAATTAATTGAAGCTAATAGCGAGTATTGGAAATATGTTGTAAAGCAGAGACCTTATGAAAGTAATGTTATCGAAGATATTTATGACGGAAAGAAATATCGTGAATTTCTGAGTACTTTAAACGAATATGACAGACTTCATTATGCTTCTTTGGTTTTTAATACTGATGGTGCACCTCTTTTCGAAAGTTCGACTTACTCAATCTGGCCTATCTTTTTAATGATTAACGAATTGCCTTATCATATTAGAAGTAAATAACTAGTTCTTCCTGGGTTGTGGTTCGGTAAAGACAAGCCTATTAACGGAGAATATGGTTGCGGTCAATGTCTTCACCCTGGTGAAACCTTAGATGTAACCCTTTAAATCCACGATCAGGAACCATAAAGGATCCCATAACAGATAAAATTTCTAAAATGAGAAAAGTTAAGGATACTATAAAGAACATGATAAAAACCGCTAGTTTAAAGAAACCGATTTTCGGAGTTAAATATCCATCTCCTTTAATGAATTTACTTCTTTTTAACATCGATTCTGGTTTCGTAACCGAATCTCTGCACTGCTGTTCAGGAATAGCAAAACAATTTGCAACTATGTGGTTCGGAACTAATAAGAAATCCGGACTGATTCCTAGAGCAAAGATTTTAGACATCGATGAACTCATGGCTAAAATCAAAGTACCTCATCAAATTGTGCGACTCACTCGATCATTTTCAGATAGAGGATTTTGGAAAGCCCGTGAGTGGGAAAACTGGACGCTGTATTATAGCCTTATTATTCTTCAAGGAATATTACCAGACAATCTTCTCGCTCACTGGGCTTTGTTTGTAGAAGCAATCTACATTCTTAGTCAAAACAGAATCACATTTTAAGAAATAGACCGCGCTGATGAATTACCCCATGAGTTCGTCGTAAAAACCGAACTATTGTATTCCAAAATTGCAATGGCATCTAACGTGCACTCGTTATTATATTGCACTTGGCAAGAAGTGTATTGAATTGGGGACCACTGTGGGCTAATAACGCATATTCTTTTGAATCCGGTAACGGTAAATTGTTACAACAAATTCACGCAGCAAAAGGAGTGCACCATCAAATTTATCGTCAAATTAGTTTAAAGTACTCTTTCTTAACACTTAAAGATCATGTGTATCCTTTTGCTTCATTTGCGGTCAGAAATTTTTGTAATACAGTCGGAAAAACAAACAAGTCCAAAGAATCCCTTCAAACAATTAATATTAAATACTTTAGTAGTTCATTTATAATTGATCCCGTTTGGCTGTTAAAACTGAATCTACCTCCAGGATCTGTATCTTATAAAAAAATAGTAAAAGGTAGATGTTTGTATATGTCTGCATCCAAGGAAAACAAACGATCTAATAACTCTTTTGCTAAATTAATGAACGGTTCCTATGTAAAACTTGCAAATTTCTTAGTGCATTATGGAACATTGACAGAATACACAATTGTCCAAACAATAAAAACAAGAAATGCTTATATCAATGTATACGACATGTTACAAGAAGTTGTCCAAATCACTGATGAATATACAGCGGTATTAACAAACGAGATTGATAAAGTTTGCGTATACATGGTAATCGAGGATAGTGAATATTTGTGCGCTGTTCCAAATTTGCACTATTATTAAATTTTGCTATATTTATTATACTAAATATAGTATTTTTTTTAATGAGATAAAATTTTTCTAGGAATTCTTTCTAAAATTCATAAGAAAGTTGGTTCCTGAAAAACTCTTGAAAATATTTTAACGTGAATTTAAAATAACAAATTTTATTGACCAAATATTAATTGCTCCTACTGTTTTGGTTTAAAATTTATTAATAGACGATTATAATTCAACGCTGTTAAAAGATTTTATAAAAATTAATTCTTACCATTAAAAAACATACGTTATAAATTTACTGAAAAACAATTTTTTAAGAATTTTTTATTTTCTTATTAAAATATATTACATATAATGTATATTTAAATGACTAATTATCTACATCTGTAATAAGTTTTAAACAAATAATTACTTTTCTACGAGTTATTCTAATAATAATTTAATTATGTACTTTAAATTTTTATAAAACTCCCTATGTAGTCATGGATTTTTAAAATAAACATTAAATTTATTTTTGCATATAGAATTTTTTATTACTCTAATAAACTTATATAACAACATTGTATTTAATTTGATATAAAATTATTATTATTAATTTTTAATTAAAAATTTATTTGTTTAAAAATACTAAAAAATTATACAAAGAAGTAACAAAATTTTAAGCAAAATAATAAACGACGTGACATAGAGAAATGAAATAGTAAACGACGTATTAAACAATGAAGTAAACGACATAGTAACGTACGTAGTAAACGTCGTAGTATACTAGTTTTGTTTTTGCTTCAAAATTTTTTTAGACTGTCAAGACATGTATTAAAGTACCCTATAAATTACAAAACGTAAAATTTTGGTACTGTTTACTTTCAAAAGTAAACATTTAATTAACAATTTTCTTGAAAACAAACAACTTTTTTATCCCACATGCACAAAAATGGCGCTTTCTGATAGCAGACGACAGAGAGGAAAGTCGTTCATTTCTTCGACCGTATGAAAATGGCGGCCGTGTTCTCCCAAGGGCAAGAAAATTAGTTGTTCACATGCATTTTTCTTGCCCATGGTAAAAAACGGCTGCCATTTTCATACAAGTCAAACAAGTGAATAACTTTTACTCCCTGTCGTCTGCTATCTGAAATCGCCACTTTTGTGCATTAGGAATAAAAAATATCGTAAGTAACACGAGAGTAAAGGCAGCCAATTTCTTTACAATGATTTTTGTGACACTTGTTCCGGTCTCGGGGCGCCCTCGACCTCCACTCGTGTCACAAAAATCACCGTAAAGAAATGGCTGCCTTTATCCTCTTGTTGCTTAATATACTATTTTATAGCAAACCTTTTTGCAATCAAATCGTCAATTCAATATTAAAAAACAAATTTCTCAGTTTTTCTTTAAACTGTATATTTATTTAACAATTAATTTTATAAAAAATTATGCGCATTTGACGTAACCCCAAAATGGTCCACTTTTACTTATTTTTCTCACTAATATGTAGATTTACACTACTGACGGAAATTGTGCGAACGCTAACATCTCGAGCTATTAAAAAACACACCCGCACAAACAGAGTGATAACTAGATTACAAGGAATAGTCTGTGAAAGTAACAATTTTTTTCATCAAGTTTTCTAAATTTTGCCAGGAGTCAAAGCAGGGGCGGATCCAGACAAGGTTCTTGGGGGGGCCATCTGCTAGACGTTAGCTTGATGACCTTATATGACCTTATTCTCGGGGGGCCATGCCACTGTGGCCCCCCCTGGATCCGCGCCTGAGTCAAAGTCAGGGTAAGAAATTCCGAAAAAAAAGAATTATTTTTTGTCTTCATAAAATGATATCTCGCTTCCTATTTAAGCAATACAAATGAAAATAGAGTCATTTCATTGGAAATTTATTAAGCTTTCCAATGCAATTTAAAAAAAGCATCTAGCTTCATTTTTAACCGAGTTATCACTTTTTCTGTGCGGGTGTGTGTTTTAATAGCTCGAGATGTTAGCGTTCGCACAATTTTCGTCAGTAGTGTGTCTTCATAAATTGTATTTCTACTGGCAAAACGCAATTATATTTCGAAACAGTTTAATTAGACTTCTTCTTAAATGATCAGGGAAATTTTTAAATGTATTTTCGTTTCCTGTGAAATCATGAAATTATCATTTTCTCCCTTTTGTCATGCCCACCCTTCATTTATAATATAATTTAGTGTTATCAAGAATCGATTTTTGTCGAAAAAAACGAGCCGAACAAAAACAAAGAAAAATAAAAAATACCGTTTCCTTAAAGTTCGTTTCAACCGAGAACATTCGAAAACGATGTCGAGCATTTATCGGTTCGACGAGCATCACCATATCTATCTATACATAAAGTCACAGATTTTTCTCTTATTTCCTTCACACTTTTTTTTAAGATTTATCTGAGCTGCCATAAGAGCCTATGTTAAATTGCAAATTGATTTTATTTTTTTAAGCAAAAACTAAGTGGTAAAAAATTCTGAAAAAAATAATGTTTCTAAATTTCATTGTACCCTTTATCCTATATTACATTAGGAACTAGTTTCTCATCTTTAATTGGTAATGGATACTTTTTCCAAAAATCGTTCCAAAATTGTTTCTCTGATTCAGATTTTTCATATGTATTTTTTGTTTTCAAATAGTTAATTATTTCACTGTACGAGTCTTTCAAGTGATCAATCTTATTTTTATATTCATTGACTTGAATTTCCTGCAGCAATAATGAACAATAAGAAATCAATTGTATAATATTTGTACGTGCATTCTCGACAACAACTGACAAGTATGTTTCTATTCCTCGCATTGATGTTAACTGTAATAAGGAATAAACGAATGAAAGTAGTCTAATTTTATTCTTTAAATGTTTTTTCGCTATGAATTCTTTTAAACTATTATCAATTTTTTCCACAAGTTCAAGCTGATCTAGTACTTTGAAATTTTTCACTAAAGAATTATTAAAATGGATTTGTATGCCACTGAAATAGTTTTTATACTTATCTAATTCATTACTATCTCCTTTCATATCAGTCACAGCCCTTAGCTTATTATAAAAGTAATTAGTTACTTCGTTCGGTAATCCAGCCTCGTTTAATTGTTGCAACAAGCCATCTTTATTTCTAAATAGGCAATTTCTTGAGCTTTCTGACATACTTAAATCAATATTCTGAAGACTTTCTTGTTCTATTGTATGGGAGTTATTAATAGCTTGAAAAATATTATCGTCAATAAGAGAACTTTTAATAATTCCTTCTTTCTTCGTTAACCTGAAGAAAGCAACATGATCTTCATTATCTATTATATACTGCACAAAATCTATCACAACTTGAGAAATTTTCAAAGAATTCTTCACTTCTATAATTGATGTATTCAATTTGTACCTTATGTACTCATGATCAATTAAAAAGGTTCTGATCTTGGAAGGTGCTTTTGAGAAAATTACTGATATGCTTGAAAAAAACTCTCTAAACTTAACATTAAAGAATCTTTCAAGGTTACGTAAAAGTGTTAAAAACGTATCAATATTGTCAGGTACAATATCATAAAAATTGATAACTAATATAAATTTTAATAATTTTACTTTTTTCACCAAAGTATTCAAATAGAGAGTATTTGAGATATCTTGCAATGCACCTCTATTGTCATGAAATCCAGCTGTATCCCAGATGCTCAAATTATGTAATTCTTGCCTTTTTGAGTTCCATTTTGTGGGAATTGTAGTCACTGACACTGCTCCCTCACCAATTTCTGGTCCTACGCTATTTTCATCAAATTTTGTTATGCAAAGACCAAGTCCATCTTTAGTTGAGGAACCTATCAACTCATTGCCTATTAAGTAATTAATTAATGTACTTTTTCCACATCTTGCGGAACCTATGACGATTGCCGCATTATCATGTCCACCTTTTGTTTTTCTTTCCACATAATTTTCCGCATCAGACTTTACTTGCAATAATTCTTCTAACTGACTTTCGGACGTACAAATGTCGCTTCTGATCGATGAAATTAGTAAGCATATGATTACTATTTTGATCATGATTGATCAACTATAGGTTGTAACTTTTTCCTGTTTATATTCAATGACCTGAAATATGATAGAAATTAGTGCAAATCCGAACTCTTTTTAAATAAATTGGACGGATAATTCAAAATTAAATAGTGTTTGAAAAGTAATAAATACAAAATTCAAGATATTCTGTTTAAAAATACAGTAACTAATGTGGTTTATTTTCATTAAACATACAAATTTTTAGTGTCAAAGTTATATTCGAAAATTATTTTTTTAACTCTGAGTAAAGTAAGTACAATAAAATAAAATTTCTTGAAAAATGTTGTGCTATAATATGGGCTATAATGAAAAAGACGTTATATGCAGAATTATAACACCTTCAATTAAAAAAGAGAACATCTAAATAACTTGAAAATTCTGTATTCAAAATAAATTTGTGTGTCTCAACTTGCGTGCCGCATCGTGTCTCAAACCTGCATATCTAGCCTTTATTTTTTTGACGCTACGAAATCATTTGCAGATGTTAATGCATGTTTAAAACCTTATCGGAACATTAAATTAGAACAAAATATGCTGTGAAAAAGTTATCTTGACTTTTTTCTGCCACTAAAATACATTGGCTACCTCAAAGCTACCTCGAGACTACCTCAAGGCTTACTTAAGGCTTTAGGCTCGCTTAAGGCGTACTTGCGTTTGCGAAGGCAAAAAATAGGCCCCACTTTAATGTTTTTTTACACAGTTATTTTATTTAAAATATTAAAAACGATTTTTTCACCTTAAAGTACATTAAAAAAAACTAAAAAAAGAAGAAATTGTTTCGTTTTTTAACCGTTATTTACGATTTGTAGAGGGCCCCAAAAATTGTCGATCTCAAATTCGTAAGAGTTTGCGGTGCCCCGCATAGAGCCTCTCCTGACTGTCTGAAATTAAAAAAACAAAATTTATTCTTTAGTATACATTAATACCTAGTGGACGTATATAATGAAATTAAAAAAAAAGTAAAAAAAACGAAAATGCGGTACTTTTAAAGTCAAAAATTCAAAAGATCAAAATAATCATTTCTTAAAAATTGACTTTAAAGGTACCGCATTTTCGTTTTTTTTACTTTTTTTAAATTTCATCATATACGTCCACTAGGTATTAATGTATACTAAAGAATAAATTTTGTTTTTTTGATTTTAGACTGTCAGGAGCGGCTCTAGAGGGGGCACCGCAAACTCTTACAAATTTGAGATCGCTATTTTTGGGGCCCTCTATGAATCGTAAATGACGGTTAAAAAACGAAACAATTTTTTCTTTTTTTAGTTTTTATAATGTACTTTAAGGTGCAAAAATCGTTTTTAATATTTTAAATAAAATGACTGTGAAAAAAAACATTAAAGTGAGGCCTATTTTTTGCCTTCGCAAACGCAAGTACTCCTTAAAGCTTAGGACTAGTTTGAAGCTAAAAACTTGTCTAAAACTTAAGACTGAACACAGACATAAGGCTCGCTTGAGACTCAAGGCTTATGGGACGAATAGAATTTTTATAATGATAAATAATTTAAAGAAATAAATATATTAAATTAAGTAAAATAAAATAGTAAGTTAAATCTGATCAAAAATAATTAAACAAAAGGGGCAATCGCCCCCCAAACTCACTTATTCACAGTGTAATGTTTGGTATTAATATCTATGCCTTCATTACTATAAGGTTTTAATTTACGAATATGCCCCCCCAAAATTTGCTTCTGAATCCGTTCCTGGTTCTGAGTTGCTGGAGCTCTATTTGTCGAAAAGTAATTAACAAAACACAGAAAAATAAATTAGACACGAGCTCACAAGGAGGGTAGCGTTGGGAAATCCTAAGAAAATAATATAAAAATAAAAACAAGTGACTTCCAGGAACAAAACTTATTAAAAGAACAAAGAAACATTAATCACTTACGTGATGTCGATCAAATATCGACTCTTGTCGTTTATACAAAATAATTCTCGTCACAAGTAGTCGAATTTCCTCACACAAGATTCTCAGATCAAACATTCACTCAGTGGTTATTACAATCACACCGTCGAACAAAGAGTACCGTGCTCTTTTCGAAAATTAAGTTATGTGTCAATTGATCGAATTATTGGCGCTTCAATCGATGCAAGGTCGCAGGGGCGAACTATTGACCTTTCAACCCATACCATTATTGTAAGATATTATAACCTGTCGCCACGCCGGTTCATTTATGGAAATTATAATCTCAGAATTGGGGAAAACAATTCCGGTGGCGAGAAATTATAAAGGCGATCTTTAGTATTTTTATTAATTTTGAGCGCCTGGCTGCTCCTCTAATAATATAAGAAAATACAAGCCATATTTAGAAATTGATTAGAACGTTTAGAATATATAAATTGAATTTACGATTAAATAGTTTGCCGACTAGGTATGGGAACGAATAGTGACTTTTGTTAAATAAATAAACACTAGTTTACACACATAACTCACATTTATTCTAAATATTTAAAACTTTAAAGAGACATTTATTATTCAAAGAAACAGACTTGCCAAGAGTCGGAGAGCGAGCAATCTTCAACAAGAAAACAAAGCAAATTTATTACTATGGCGAATTAATAGTCTAACTCACCATTATTCCACGAAACAAAATAACAATTTCTGCTTTAAAACTTATTTTCAACTTTGGAATTTCCAATAAACAATTCTTTCTCCTTCTTTATCTTAACTTTTCCTCTCCTTACAAAACAATCAACCATCCACCGTGATGTACAAAACGTGAAGGACGAGCGCCACTCAGCTGCTCGTACTTTTCGCCTATTAGACGCGGCTCTTACTCAACGGCCACCCTGTCGATAAATGTAGATTAATACATCCACAAGTAGCGATTAATGGGTTGCAGCCTTGTAGGCGCGACTTAATATTAATCTTAATATTAAATTAAGGAAAACAGCTAATCTTGGACTAGTGACATTAATTATCACGTAATGAGCCTGGAGCAGTGCAATAACATTTTAAAATAATTTTGTAAACATAAATAATTAAACAATATTCTGTTTAATGATGATAGTTCTTATAAGAGAACTTTTGGCTGCATTAATTGATATTCGTCCTCAAGACTGCTCCCTGAACTCTGCTCGCTCCTTCTGAGAGTTCTCATTAGTTTCGTTGCGCAGTTTTGGTCGCATCTAGTAGGCATAAACAAAATAAAAAAACAATGCGGCAGAAATTATTCTTAATTGATATTATTTCTCGGATGTGCTCTCGAACTCTTTGACAGGTTAAAATTATTTAATTTGACATTATGTGTATTTTCTGTATTTACATATATTGTAATAATCCCTTTCATAACTTAACAATTTATTAATAATAAAAAGGGGACTTCACGTCCACATCACCGTCGAGGAATTTTGAGATGTAAAATATACAGCGTTACAATATTTAATCGATTTAATACTTGAAATAACTTTAGAATGACATTCCCGTCACATTCTTCCTCTTCAGAGATGACGTTAGTTCAAGAAAAGTGAAAATTCCAAAACTATAAAAAACAAATTTTTAATCTGAAAAATTTTAATTAATAACATTCTTTATGATCAGCACAAAATAAAATAAAAGTGATTAATGTCTTTAAAAAAATTCAATTAATATCATTCATGATTCTTAAATTAAAATATTTAACCATTCCTGGAAGTTTCTTGATTAGATAATAAAATATTATGTAGACTTTTTTTATTAATTAAGTAGTACTTCACATTTGTCTACATAAAAATAGGGTTTAGTAATTATGTAAGTATATAATAGTCGACTTAAAAGTACAAAAGTTAAGACTATGATAGTCAAATAGTAAGTACAAAAATAAAAAAGTTTCTTCTTTAGAGCAAAGTTTGGTCGATTTATATTTATAAATTGTCGAAATCTTATTTGCTCTTCTTTTGATATATGGTCGGCATGATTACTAGGTACTCCCCTCCATCGGATAACTCTGGTTTCTGTCACATAACCTGATTGAGAGAAGCATCAGTGAAAGCCCTAGTTAATGCCAAAACAGCCGATTGACGCTTCTTTTTGGAAATATCAACAAAAGTCTGAGTACCTCTGTCGATCTTCTTTGCTTCCATCATCTTCAAAAGAATCTCAGCCCTCTTCTTGATCAGATTCTGTAGGAGAGTTTCGGAACCTATTCGACAATCAACCATATAGATAGGTTCAGCTCCATTTTCCGACTTGATCATTTTAGGGACTCCAAGCTTCTTCATACACAACCGACGGAAATATATTGTGCGACCGCTACCACATCGAGCTATTAAAAAACACACTTGCACAAAAATAGTGATAACTCCGTCAAAACTGAAGCTAGATGCTCTTTATAAATTGCATTGGACAGCTTAATAAATTTCCAATGAAATAATTCTATTTTCATTTGTACTGCTTAAATAGGAAGCGAGATATCATGTTATGAAGACAAAAAATAATTCCATTTTTTTCGGAATTTCTTACCCTGAATTTGACTCCTGGCAAAATATGGAAAAGTTGGTGGAAAAAATTGTTGCTTTTACAGACTATTCCTTGTAATCTAAGTTTTAAATAGTGACCACAGACAGCAAAAAATATTAATGGGTTTCCGAGATATTACAAAAACAGTCATACCGTGCAAAGTCGTACTGGGATCCACGTTTTAAATTAATTTATTATATAATTATATTTAAAAAGTGGATCCCAGTAAGAGTTTACTTGTTAAATTCATTTTTGACCCTGACTTTTACAACCACGCAACTGACTCAACGGTGAATTAGAGGAGTCGATGGTTGAAAATTTCGCTTTGCACGGTACGACTGTTTTTGTAATATCTCGGGAACCCGTTAATATTGTTTGACGGAGTTATTATTGTTATCGTTCGGGTGTGTTTTTTAATAGCTCGAGGTGCTAGCGGTCGCACAATTTCCGCCGGTAGTGTAAATTCGTTGAATCATCCTTAAATGTGGTCGGTAAAGGTTCCACCTTCACTGAAGGCGCAACAACAGCATCTGGGTGATCAATCATAGTCATTCGTCGAGGTCTTCCACCATCATCGCTGTTCGTCATTGATTTCACATCAGGTATGCGATTTCTTCTTTTATTCTCCTTTTCCATGTTGGATTGAGTCATTCTTCTTATTCGATTAATCTCAATTTTAGGCGGTTTTCTGCCACTGATCTCATCAATTAGACGCTGGGCCTCCTACAATTGATGAATGACATCAACATGCGTCTGGTAATCCAACACCTGTTTATTCAAGCTGTGCATGAACTCGTCGATCTGTTTTTTGGATTTACCAAGCTGGTCCAACTTCTCTCGGACCTCCATCATCTCCAATAGGTTAAGACTCTCTGCCATTTCCGATGCTAACTCACAACAAGGTAATCGACAGAAAAAAAAACTTTAATATGTTGCTAATATTGACGAAGTAGATCAGTGACTCCCACGAAGCAAAGACGTCCAGAAAATTTGACCTATAAAAATCGCATTATGACAAACGCAAGCTTTGACGAGGTATCTTTAAATTAGTTACAGAGTATTTGCCTACAACTTTACCATTTTTGTATGTCAGCTGAACTGTATCAGGTCTATAAACTTTAGAAATGGAAACAGGGCTTAAATGACAGTAAGCTAATTTTGAGGAATAACCTACAGCCTTGTTATTAAGCTTTTTGTTCGGATAATAAACCCCCACACCCACTTTTAGTTTAACTGACATTTCTCTGTCAGCATTTGACTTGGCTAGTCGCTTTTCAGAATAGGTTTGCAATTTATTCTCAATTTTATGATGAAATTCGTCAATGATCTTCATACGATCGATCCAAGTATTTACCGCGTCATCGTCAAATTCATCAATGCTCATTTCGGTCTCGCTTCATTTTAATTGTCGTTTAGCAATAGCCTCTTATTTTCTATGATCTTGATCAATATAGGCGGAAATTATAGGTTTTATTGTTCGATTTACACGCTTGACCGGATTACATTGAGGATGAGCCAACGGAGTAGTGATATGTTTAACGCCTCTGACCAATAAGATCGCTTTGACATCTTTATTTATAAATTCTTTCTCGTTATCGGTCACGATTGATTCCGGAATTCCCCACCGATGAACAACGATAATATCTGAATTTCCCTTTTTCGTTCGAGTTTGGGACACTATTGTGTCGATCGACAATTGAGCCTACGTTAATTGTAACGATCGCGTAGCTAATTTAGCCTTTATAAGATTTTGATTATATTTAACCTTAATACATATTTCGCAATCTAAAACATAAGATTTGACATCCTGTGTCATACTTAGCCAATAATATCTTTGATGAATTCTGTCAAGAGTATTATGTTTACCAAGATGATCTGTATGAGGTAAATCATGATTCTTATAAAGAACTGTCAAAACATCCGAAGACTTAACTACCTTCTTCGAAGGGTTCTTATCGTCAATTAACGCCTTCTCAAAATCTGGTTGAAAATAATACAATTCACTATCTTTGATTTTCCAATCCTCAAAACGATCAGGATGATTCTTAACTAAGTCGAATTTGGTCTCATACCAATTTTGATCACAAAAAGAAGCTAGTTGTATATTATATTACTGGATATAACAGATAATTTGGGATTTGTAAATTAAAATACAAGAGCACGTTTTTGATATTATCGTATATTCGCCGCGCCATGTCTAATTCAGTTCTGATTAATCGCGGTAAAAATTAAGCGGTATATTTAAATTCAAATTAAGCTGTGTACGTACTTAACATATTCCCCGGCCTTGATAAAGGATAAATCAACATACAAATCCTCACGAATAACCTTTGCCAAGTTAGGATGAGTGTCCTCTCACTCCTTTGCGATTGCGATTAAACATCTAATTGCCAAAAACGAGCCTGCGGCTGTAAGGTACGTTACTGTGTTAAGATCATAAACCTCTATCGGATCATTTAATTCAAAACGCCATAAAATGCGTTGAAGCGATCGTTGATCAGGATCTATGAGTACCAGCCGGTACAATTTTTCTATGTCCGCGATTAAGACAAATTTATGCTTCCGAAATCTAATAAGAATTGAGAATAAATCACTCTACAAATTTGGACCAATCATCTGCAATTCATTCAATGATACGCCAGTGTCGGATTAGGCAGAGCCGTAAAAACGACTCGCGTTTTAGATTAAGCTTTTTCCTGACGAAATATACAATGGTGGGGAAAATAATATGAGACCATTGGTTCCTCTTTTTCATCTACTTTCGACATATGCCCCAGTTTTATATATTCTCTCATGAATGAACAATATGATCCTTTCAACACTGGTTGCTTACTCAATTTTCTTTCTAAACTCATTAGTCGACGTTCAGACATTTTCCTAGAATCACCTAGTTTGTTAATACTATTCTTGAATGGAATATAAACGATGAATTTTCCGTCTTCACTACGTCTAGTATTTTCGACAAAATGTTTCTCACATAAATTCTGCCGAGTAAACTTTATTGTCCGATAAACATTCCTCCAACTCCCAAAATTTACCCAATTGATTCTCGATATTTGAACATTTAACGAAATTACAATTCACCTGATTTGTTGACAGACATGGACTGGGACCTGCAATTATTTATTGCATTGTCTATAAAAATGTCTATCGTACCTGATTTGTTAAAATCAGGGTCAGACAATTTAATATGAGACGGAACTCCAATCGACCTTGATTCGACCGGGAGGTTAGGCAAGTTAGATTTAATTTTAGGCACGACAAGACGCGATACTCGAATTCCAAATGAACTTGCCCTAGAAACGATTTCGATTTCGCATTTATGTTTAACGGCTAAAAGACTAACATCAATAACTTCTTTGAGGCCTAATTTATCACAAAGCTCTGCTGAAATGAGATTACATTGTGACCCTGTATCTAACAAAGCCAGGACCAGTGCCGTCGACAGGATTCCGTCTTCCGCTCCATGGAGTATAGACGTTGCTGATGCAACCATTTTTTCTCTACTTGCTGAAGAACTATTACGACCCTCTGATTTGGGTAAGACTTTCTGAAGTGTGCTCATGATTATCAAAGGATAATTTAATTTCATTCAAACACCTATATTTTAAAAGTAAATAATGATAAAAACCACCTGAAAATAGTTTTAAAAAAAATTGTTTTTTAAAAAGTTATTAAGAATTTAAATTTTTTAACACCTTTTTCGAAAAAAATGAATTACTCGAAAACTAATCGACAGAATTCGATAAAATTTCAACCATTTATTTAAAAAAAATTTATTTTTAAAACTCCAATTCTAGTTTTAAATTATCATGTAATTTGATTAAATAATAAAAAAATTTTATAAACAAATGAAATTTTAAGCATGTTCTTAATGAGATACTTAAATTTTCTTTTCAGCATTTTATTCTGCGTAAAATGTGGAACTATTTCCAAAAAAATTTTAGGGCCCGCATTTTATTTACAAAATAAAGCTATTTTTGTTACGCGCTGTAACAAAGACATGGCGCGTGCAGTTTCGCGGGCGGTCGCTCTGCCGTAGTGGATGCGTTGAAGTCGGCGTTGAATTGTTTCAACTTTCAACTGAATGAACTTATTATAAATAATAAACTAAATAAATAAAACTTATTTAACATTTTTCGTATAAATGTCTTATAAATAAAAGTTTTCATCTGCAGAGAAGAATTAACACATGATTTTATTTTCTGTGGGCACAAAGCAATAATATTGACGTGTATTTTTAATTGTCACTGAGTTGTGCAGGCGTGGTCGCAATAATTTGTCATGATCATCATGTTCTTTTTTTGAACAGAAATCAAAACTTACGTTTTTGAAGAAAACTCTCGCCCACTCAAAAAGATTTCGTGGTGTAATTAAATAATTTAAATTAATGCGTTATAGGCTACCTGTATATGCGTTTCGTTTTACTGTTCCGCCAATCCCATCGCAAGCTCCTTTGCCGTGGGACGTAGCGAAAAAGTACCATTCCGCATTAATATTAAAATCATTTTCGTGAATATAATAAATTTAAAAAATTTAATTTATTTTTGTATTGGGATCCAGCCCCGTCTGAAAAATAAATCATTTTTTTGACGCGATCACTACCGTGTAATGTTTTTAAGTAGGCAATGAGTTTTGTGTTAAATAAATGGACAACTATATTATTGTGCTGCATACTTTTTGATATCGTGACATAATTGTGATGTTTTATTTCACTACCTTCTTTATAATATACGACGTATGTATGGAGAGTCGCTTGCTTATTAGCTCAATGTTGTGCTTGAATCGCATCTTGCACATGGAAAGTGTAATTTTCGGAAAAATCTAAGGTGACTACAAATTCACCATCAGCTAAATTCTCTTTTAGTTCATTGAAATAAGTACTTTGCGACTTCATAATAAAATCATGTTTTACAAGGCAAGATAGATCGTTCGTGAAATTTTTTATAAATAAATCGCTTAATTCAGTAATCTCGAGAAGTTTACACCTATAAACACAAAATATATTTATGTAGATTCTTTTTATGAATTAAAAAACGTTGTTAAGATAATAGAAAGTAAAAACACGTTAAGCAATTAAATATGGAGAAGTTTCATAAAAGTAACACATTATAACATAATTATTGCACCGAAAAAATAAAATCTCAAAGAGAACAAAATTCCGCTTTAAATTATTTTTACTTTTTATTTTTACTATACGAATAGATTAATTTTAATTTTTCTTTTTTGTCTAAAATTATTCCTCTCAAATTGAAACAAATGTATACTAGAAAGAAGATTTTTTAGTTGTTTTTTGTTTTTCTCAAAGCAGCTTCAAACTGTTTAAAAAGTGACATTTAATAGAAAATATAAAAGGAAAATCCTCTCAATTAAGAAGGAAAAATTTAGTGCACTATGTAAGACGAAAAAATGCTGCAAAAGAAGAGAAATCGTCTAAGTTTAAGAACATTTTTTTTTGGTGTGTAAGTGTACAGTTATATTATACAATATAACAATATAGAACTAATTTAATTTTAAGTTTTCTTTTATTGATTAAAAAAATAGACTTTAGAGATGAATATAAGTTTTACTCACACAATAAATTCTAAATATAATTATTTTCCAAATATATTTTTTTATCAATGAGCAATAAGAAAGAAAATTGTTAATTGTAAAATTTATGACTTTGTATTATTATTATTATTATAACTTCTTTTCAACAAAAAGATTTAATTATGTTAAATTGTGATTTTATAAAGCGAAGTAATTTTAATTTCAACTCCAAAGCAATATTGAAAGACTTTTACTATTCAGAAAGAATTATAGTTTTACCTGTCGGTTGTAGTCCATTGGCTGAATTTTCATTCTGATAGTTTGTTTTTTTCAAACAAACATTTTAATTTTTCCGAAGCATGTGCTATTCCGGGACATTCTTTACACTTTAAAAGAAAGCACGATGGATTGGAATCCTTGCATACAAAATTTTTACAAAGTCATGATAGGTATTTGTAAAGTCGACATTTTTTTATTCAAAGCTTCTTTAATTGCGAATACTTCAGATTTAAAATTTTGGTGGATTTTGCAGACACAAACGTTGTTTGTCTCACTTTGACCAGCTAGTATGCATTCAGGTGGTCTTAATTTTTTGAATTTTGAAAATGATACTTTTGCTTCGGGAAATTTATCTTTAAATAAATTGTAAATGTCAGGACTAGAATGTAGCAGCAATTTCTTCTGAATTTGTCGACGCGTTCCATTTTCTCTTATTGTTACGCAACCTTTAATTCCGAGCATAACACGGCTAATTTCATCTGATGAATAAAAGTTTTTCACTTTTTGTATAGTGACTTCAGGAAGTGATCGCCCCTTCTTTTTCAACGGCTGGGACCTATAACCAACATATCTTTTTAACTTCTTGGCTTGTGATACCATTTGACGAGATACACTAAAAAGATTTCTAATTTTCGGAATACTCCAAGCTTCTGGAAATGAAGTTAAAACTAGAATTTTATCTGCGCGTGATGTTTTTTCTAAAAGAGCTGCTTTAATATTGTCAACGTAAGATTGGTAAAACATATCACTTTCTGAAGGTTCATTTGTACACTTATTCGCGAGATTATTTTTTGTTTTATTTAAAACTCTGTTTAAATCCTTCTTCTCAACATTTGGCGAAGATGAAGATCTTCGTCTTTTTAAGGTAGGTTCTCCACATTTGATGAGTATTTCAATTAACTTTTCAATAGTTAAGTCCTTTTTATAAGATTTGTATGTGGGATCTAAATCTTCATCACTGGAAATTATATTTTCTTCACTAGAGCTTTCAGAATCTGTGGTAATTGCCATATTTCTCTCCGGTACAATTATATTTAATTCATTTTCGGATTTTTTGTAAATAGCACGTTTAGGTACATGAATCACAAACAAAATGACCAATTAATGTTTTAAATTTTAAGTTCTACTTATCGGTCACTTTTGATAAATTTTTGTGAACACATTTGTTTCACTTTTTGTAGAGGATTCACACAATAAACCACTTTTGACATTTTTTTATAAAAAACTTGTTTTCAAAGATGAAATGTTTTAATACTGGCGAAAATGAGCCAAAAACAACTGAGACTCAACTATGTGAATCGTTATTGACTTCGTCTTACACATTTAATTGTTTTGTTATTTATTTGTTTTAACCAGAAAATAGAAAAATGTCAATTTGACAGTTTTTAAGTTAGTAAAATAGGTTTGCACTTAAAAAATTAAAAGGAAAAATCTGTGATGAACTTAATAATAACAAATTTTACTCCAGTTTAAAGTAAGAAATTTCAAATTGACATTCTTCAAAGTTTTGGGCGAAAACAATGAGAAACGACTTCTTTATTTAGAGTGATAACTTAAAATTTATATATTAATTTGGCATTTATAATGTGTAAATATTGTTAACTTATTTTTAAAGATTTATTAATATTACATGATATTCAATAACTAACAAGTTGAAATCAATTCAATGCATTTAACGCGGCAGTGCAACCGCCCGCGAAACCGCACGCGCCATATCTTTGTTACAGCGCGTAACAAAAATAGCTTTATTTTGTAAATAAAATTCGGCCCTAAATTTTTTTTTTTGAAATAGTTCCACATTTTACGCAAAATAAAATGCTAAAAAGAAAATTTAATTATCTCATTAAAAACATGCTTAAATTTTAATTTGTTTATAAATTTTTTTTATTATTTAAACAAATTACATGATAATTTAAAACTAGAATTGGAGTTTTAAAAAGAAATATTTTTTAAATAAGAGGTTAAAATTTTATCGAATTCTGTCGATTAGTTTTCGAATAATTCATTTTTTTCGAAAAAGGTGTTAAAAATTAAATTGTTAATAACTTTTTAAAAAACTTTTTCAGGTGTTGTTTTTATCATTATTTATTTTTAAAATATAGGTGTTTGAATGAAATTAAAATACCCTTCGATAATCATGAGCACACTTCAGAACGCCTTACCCTATTATCAGTTACATACATCATAATATCTTTTTTATCCCACATGCACGAAAATGGCGCTTTTAGATAGCTGACGACAGGGAGTAAAGTCACTCATTTGTTCGACCATATAAAAATGGCGTCCATTTTTTCCCATGGGCAAAAAAAAGGTCCCATGCTTTTTTTTGCCCATGGGAAAAAAAGGCCGCCATTTTCATACAAGTCGAACAAGTGAATGACTTTTACTTCCTATCGTCTGCTATCTGAAATCGCCACTTTTGTGCATTAGGACGACCTCCACTCGTGTCACAAAAATCACCGTAAACAAATGGCTGCCTTTATACCCTTGTTGCTTAATATACTATTTCATTATACCTAATCTTTTAGTACTTTATGTGCGAATGGGAACTGCCCGTATAAATGTTATAAATAAATAAAAATTTCTATTTTTACACTTGTTTAAATGTAAACTTTCGATTTCTAAAAGTTTTAATCGGTATGAAATGAGAAAAAATTTTCGATTTTTTTTACGTGTTTAACCCTTTGCCAGACTTACTTTGCCCCACCCCAGAACTGCCCCAGCACCGGCCTGCCAGACGTGGGTTTCTGTTATTAACATGTCTTCAGTAATATATACTCAAATTTTCAGCCGGTATGAAATTATATAGTTGATTTGGTCGCTAGTTCACGGACTATCAGAACGAGAAAGAAATAAAAGCTTCAATTTTGTTTAATTGTTGGTCTCCCCGGCGGACATAAAATGAGAGTATTTGCAGACCAATTCATAAAGTTTAACTATATTTTTTTGCATTTTTCATTTTGTAGAAAAACGTTTTTGGCCATAACTTAAAAAAAATGTTAGAACACCTATAAATGTTTTTCTTTAGTTTTGTAGAGTTTTTTCAGACGCATCTTTTGAGCCTTCATTGAACATTTTTCGTCTATATTAGCCAGAGATATTAAAGTTTTAAAAATCTAAATTTTTCAAAAATAACATTTTTTTGAAAATTTTGTTGAAAAATGGAAAAGTAACTTTAAAAATATCATTTACCAACATTAAAGAACGCGATTGACCTATTTTTGAACCTGATTCGGCAGAAATGATGAAATTATTGGTATTTGAAAAATCAAAAATTGTGGAAAATATCATTTTTTCAACATTCTTGTTTATTAACTTCTGTGTAATTATTAAACTATTATAACCATCTTATAGAATATATAAAAACACATTTTTTGGACCACGATTTAACGCTTTTTAACCTTTTTATAAAAAGTAATTCTTATATTTCAATTATTCTTATTTCTATGAGGAAGCAAAGTGTTCATGAAATGAAGACCAAAATTATAAAAATGTACATCTTGGCAGCGGTTTTTTAAACCTATTGTTTAACCTCTAAACTATAAATTTAAAAATTGTTTATATATAAGATTAAAAAAAATTTAAGCTCAAATATAAAAACCGCTGCCAAGTTGTACATTTTTATAATTTTGGTCTTCATTTCATGAACACTTTGCTCCCTCATAGAAATAAGAATAATTAAAATATAAGAATTACTTTTTATAGAAAGATAAAAGAGCATTAAATCTTCGTCCAAAAAATGTGTTTTTTTATATTCTATAAGATGGTTGTAATAGTTTAATAATTACACATAAGTTATTAAACAAGAATGTTGAAAAAATTATATTTTCCACAATTTTTTATTTTTCAAATACCAATAATTTCATAATTTTTGTCCGAATCAAGTTTAAAAATAGGTCAATCGAAGCGTTTTTTAATGCTCTACAAGTTGGTAATAATACTTTTAAAGTTACTTTAACATTTTTCAACAAAATTTTCAAAAAAGTGTTATTTTCGAAAAATTTAGATTTTTAAAACTTTAATATCTCTGGCTAATATGGACGAAAAATGTTCAATAAAGGCTCAAAAGATGCGTCTGAAAAAACTCTACAAAACTAAAGAAAAACATTTATAGGTGTTCTAACATTTTTTTTAAGTTATGGCCAAAAACGTTTTTCTACAAAATGAAAAATGCAAAAAAATATAGTTAAACTTTATGAATCGGGCTGAAAATACTTTCATTTTATGTCCCCCAGGGAGACCTACATTTGAAAAAATTGAAGCCTTTATCTCTTTCTCGTTCTGAGATATTGAGGCAAATGTAATATTAGTACACACACACACATCGGGACATTTTTCTAAAATCCGTTTTTTGGACTTCTGAGATCAAATTACATCGAAATTTTTATTTATTTATAAAATTTTTATGGGCAGTGCCCATTCATACATAAAGTACTACAAGATTAGGTATAATGAAAATAAGTTTATAAATATGTCAAAAAATCACAATCCAAAATTTTGCTAATACAATCCTTTCTCTATGAGAAAGCAAAAAATAATTATTTTCAAGCTTTACTAAAAAAGACCGTCATAGGAAATTTTCAAAGAAATTCATTTTTTAAAAAGTTACCGTAGTTGAAAATTACTGATTTGTGAAGAATCAACCATATGACATATAATAATAATAATAGTAAAATTTTACCGTTGGAAACATACCAATCTTTAAATCACGATTTTTTTGTAAATACAAATGTCAGAAAATTAACAAATATACCATTCGAAAGATTATTAAATTCTACGATTAATGATACATAACTAAAAATTTTAATAATTTATACAAAGATTACAGAAATCGACAAAATTGACAAAAAAATTTAAAAAATATATTAAAAAACACAGGAATATACTGGATTATTAATGATTTATTTTTTTATTAAAATAAATAAACCAGACGCTTCGATTAAAAAATACAATTTTTTTGGAAATTTTGTCAACCCCTGCACATTTTTTAAAAATTGTAGAAAAAATTTGAAACTTACATAAGTGTGATCATTTCAGTCTCGTTTTTCATTTAAGACCAAAAGATTTTAAAAATCTTATTCGGTTCGTGAGATATCATTACAAACGTCCGATCATGTTTTTTGACAAATGCATTGAATTAGTCGATTTTGAACGGTTTTTGGCTGAAAATGCTCGGCCGTTTATAATGATATCTCGCTAATCGAATAAGATTTTTAAACTCTTTTGGTCTTAAATTAAAGATGAGACATGAATAATCACACTTATGTAAGTTCCAAATTTTTTCTAGAATTTTTAAGAAATGTGAAGGGGTTGAAAAAATTTCAAAAAAAATTTTATTTTTGAAATTTTTTTGTCAAATTTATCGATTGCTGCAATCTTTGTGTAAATTATAAAAATTTTCAGTTATGTATCATTAATCGTAAAATTTAATAATCTTTCGAATGGTATATTTGTTAATTTTCTGACATTTGTATTAACAAAAAATCGTGATTTAAAAATTTTTATGTTTTTAGGCCGTGAGTTTTCAGCCGTACCGATAATTCCCGACTGTAGTGTAGGAGGCGATCCCTTCAAAATGGGTCGGCCGCTACAGAAACCGAATCTTCTGTGTTTCGCTGGGCAGTGTCCCAGGGCACGGGGATTTAGAGGGATATCGAGAGAGACGGGATGGACAGAGGCTTAACCGCGGGTCCATTCCGAAGACTTCCTACTGGTGGAAGTCTGACCAAGAAGAAACCCTTCCATGGTTACGTTGGCTGTGCCATGGCGATTGAGGCGCGAGTCTCTGCCACCCAATCCGTGATGAACTCGTGTTCATGGATGAATGATACTAGGGTTAACAAATCCGTCGGGTTCTTCCGTGGGGAGGGGGTTGGACGGGGCACGACCTTTGCTGGGCACAATTAACCGTAAACCGTAAAGCTCGGGAACGGTTGTGTTACATAAAGGGCCCGTCTTCTGGACGACCCGTCCCCGGGGTGGGGTTCGAATGGAGGTATCTTGAACGAGACTCTGAGATACCAGGCGAACTTTCAGATGTAATTTAGCCTTTTCTTTAAATAGAGGCTCTTTAAGGATTGACCTTTCTTTCCTCTTTTCTCGTGGGACCATAATTGATACTACAGAAATTAATAAAAATAAAACCACACACGTGAGCGTCAAAGAGCCCTTTTTGGGGGATCACGATGCTGGCGATCAAGGTGTGGACGCGACAGAGGGGACCGTGAGTCAGTCTTAAATATGGCTGCTTCCGGGATCCACTGTATGCAGATTAACTTGCATCATTGTAAAGGCGCTTCTGCGACTCTAGCCAGGAACTTTGCAAGGATACAGGCAGCTATAGCCTTTGTTCAAGAACCTTGGGTTTACAAGGGTAAGATTAGAGGTCTCAGTGGCTGTGGGGTGCTAGTTAGTTCACCACAGGAACCAGTTCCAAGGGCTTGCCTGATCTATAAAGGTCTAGATGCTTTCCCTCTATTGGAATTAACTACCAGGGACTTAGTTGTTGTTAAGGCTAAGTACCTAGAAAAGAACGGAAATAAAAGGGAGGTTGTAGTAGCTTCCGCATATTTTCCGGGATCGGGGGATGACCCCGCACCACCTACAGAGGTGGAGAAGTTGGTAGATTACTGTCAACGGCAAGGTCTCCCTTTGATAATAGGTTGTGATGCCAATGCGCACCATATCGTATGAGGCAGCACTGACATTAACGACAGAGGCAGAAGACTTTTAGCTTTTCTGATAGATACAGATTTAGATATTTTAAATCAGGGTAATGAGCCGACTTTCGTTACTGTTAACAGAAAAGAGGTGTTGGATATTACGATCTGTTCCAAGTCTTTGTGTGATGGCGTGAGGGACTGGAGGGTGTCTGATGAAGATTCCCTCTCGGACCACAGGCTTATAACGTTTAGATTGGAATCGAAGGATCGGGAACAGGAGTGGGGACGTAATCCCAGGAGTACTGACTGGGCTTCATATATTAAAGACCTCAAGACATCCATGGCATGCTTCCCCACTTCGTATGGAACGCGGGAGGAGTTGGAACTTGCAGCGGAATACCTGCGAGATTCTATTATCTGCTCCATTGAAAGGAACTGTGTAGTTAAGAAAATGGGCTTCAATGGGGGTAGTAAGCGGTGGACCCCTCGTTTGGAGGAACATAGAAAAACAGTAAGAAAGCTTTTTAATAAAGCCAAGAAACGTAGGCATCAGCGAGCATGGGATGAATATCATACCGCTCGCGATTCTTACAAGAAAGAAGTAGAGAGGACAAGGAGTGACAGCTGGAGAAGTTTTTGCGAAGGAATCGAGAGGGTACCAGAAGCATCAAGACTTCATAAAGTACTAGCTCGAGACCCAATAGCAAAATTAACTACTATTAAGCTGCCTAATGGGCAGTATGCCCAGGATAAAAGGGAGTGTATAAAGCACCTAATGGAGGACCAGATAGGAACCGAGGATATCGGGAACACTGGAAACTAGCAGCCAGGATCGTAACTCCGGAAGGGATTGATTGGGCAATAAGCACTTTCAAACCATTTAAGGCTTCAGGGGGGGACGGTATATATCCGGTTCTTTTGCAAAAGGGATTGGAGTGTATTAGAGTACCCCAGTGTAAAATTATGAGAGAACACACCAGAGTCTTGGAAAAAGACGAGGGTTGTGTTTATTCCGAAGGCCGGTCAGTCAGGGTATACTGCGGCGAAGGACTTTAGGCCAATCAGCTTAACTTCTTTTACATTAAAGACGTTAGATAAACTGGTGGATAATTTTATTAGGCAGGAATGTCTTAGAGATCATCCCCTACATCAAGGACAGCATGCATATAGAGCAGGCTTCTTAGTAGAAACAGCCCTCCATTCAGCAGTAGGTAGAATAGAGGGACAAATCAGCAGTGGTGGCTATGCGGTTGGTACCTTTTTTGATATTGAAGGTGCCTTCCCTAACACCTCTAGCAAAGCTATCTGTAGGGCAGCCAGCATACGAGGTGTGCCCGAGCCGCTAGTTAAGTGGATCGACAGAATGCTTCGCGAAAGGGCCCTTGAAGCGAAGTATGGTGAGGCTAAGGTAACAGGCCTTGTCTCAAAAGGGTGCCCACAAGGAGGAGTCCTCTCTCCTTTATTGTGGTGCTTAGTGGCAGATGAGTTAATTAGAAACCTCAATAGCCAGGGATATTATACGCAAAGTTATGCGGATGATTTCCTTATAATTATAAGAGGGCACTCAATTGAGACCCTCTTAGAACTTACGGAACGTGCACTTAAGATTGTCAAGGATTGGTGCAATCTGACTGGACTTTCTGTAAACCCAGAGAAAACGAATATAATAGTTTTCACAAGAAAATATAAGGTACCGAGTTTGAAGAAACCGATATTTTATGGAAAAGAAATTTCTTTTTCTGAATCGGCTAAGTATCTGGGAGTAATCCTGGATAAAAAGTTGATTTGGAGGGAACATTTTGAATATCAGTATAGAAGGTTCTGTACTGCTTTTTGGGCGTGTAGAAGGGCGATAGGGTCATCGTGGGGACTAAGGCCTAATATGGTCAACTGGCTCTATCAGATGATCTTAAAACCCAGGTTTCTTCACGCGGTGGTTGTTTGGTGGTCTAGGACTCAACTGGTAACGGTTAAAGAGAAACTGGACCAACTGCAAGCAATGATTTTCAGGGGTATTACGGGAGCTATGAGAACCACGCCAACAGCTGCGTTGGGATTCATGCTAGCCGAAGTACCTCTGCATATTGCCGCGGTGAAAAAGGCGGCTCTTACTATGAGCAGGTTAACCGCGCAGGGAAGGTGGAAGGTTGGTGGTATACACACCAAGCTTCCACGCTCAATTCTATTAATACCAGAATTAAGTATGGTGCAAGATAGAATGATATAGAGGGTGAAATTTAAACCCTGCTTTAAGATCATTACACCTTCCAGAATGGACTGGAAAAAAGGTTTTCCACTTGGGGACGAAGTCTAGTATACAGACGGCTCCAAGGTGGACTGCGGTGCAGGCTTCGGAATCTATTGAAAAACTGGCTGCATTAAAGTGGCTGAGTCACTAGGACAATATGCCACGTTCTGGCAGACAGAGGTCTGTGCGATTTTAACTTGCGCCCAAATATCCATTCGAAATGGAACAAAGGGCAAAAGGATTAGTATTTGTGTGGATAGTCAGGCGGCCTTGGGGGCTCTGAAAAATCCCACAATAGAATCAAAACTCGTCTGGGAATGCCGCAGCGTACTAGATGAGTTGGGTTCATCAAATAAACTTTCATTGATTTGGGTACCGGGTCACTCGGGAATCAAGGGTAATGAAAGAGTAGACGTCTTGGCGAAAATCGGTTGAGACGGAATTGATAGGTCCTGAACCAGCAGTGGCAATAATGCCGTGCTTGGTTAAGGGAGCCATAGAAAGATGGAGTCAAAAGGAACATGAGAAGTATTGGGCGAACGTTAGGGTGGGAAGGCAAGCGAAAACTCTTTTGGGGCTAGCACTCAACAAGAGGCGAGCGAGCGATCTCCTAAAACTCGATAAAATCAGAGTTAGAACCGTAGTTCGTCTACTTACGGGTCATGGACTATTCAATTACCATCAGCATAAAATAGGCAGACAAGTTTCACCTATGTGCAGACTGTGTGGGGAGAGTAACGAAACTTCGACTCACATATTATCTGAATGCCCAGCGCTAGCTAGGATCAGGCTATCTAGTTTTGGTCAAGCAATTATTGACCCTAAACAGGTGAGCAACCTATCGATAGAAGAGATACTGGACTTCTGGAAAAAAACAGGACTCTAAGAGGTTGCTAAAACGAGCGAGCTGGAGTCTGGTACAATGGGTTTTATAACCTAGGTGCTTACTTTCCCCTCTTGAGGAAAATCCAGCTCAATCTCGGTTGTTAGATTAGATTAGTACCCACAATGTTGCATTTAACGATTAATAATATGTGTTTGGGTTTCTTAATTATGATTTTATTGATAGATAGATAAAGTATTACAAATTGTAATTGCAAAATATTAAATAAAAAAAATTATAGTACTAGAAAATTAAAAACTTGAAACATTTCTTTCCTTAAAAATTATATCAGTCTATTATCAATACATGACTTAGAAATTAAAAATATTTATTTTCAAAAATTTATGATTATATTATACAAAAAAACGTTTTTACAGATTAAACAGCACAGTTGTCTTCATGATAAACTAAAACTATTTATTTACAATTTACAACATACACAAAAGTATGTCATTTCGGGCACTTAGAGCGGGCGTAAAGTAACTCATTCCCACCCAGGGGTAGAGGAAGCGGGCGCAAAATATTTTGCGCCCGCGTGTTGATTATTCGATTTTCTTCATTAAAATGCGACATTTTCGACTTTCCTTTATGTTGACTATAAAAATGCAAACATTTTTAACTTGTTTTATTTTGTCTATAAAAATGTTCAATTTTTTTCGATTTTCTCTAAAAAAATTATGAGACATTTGGTTTTGTTCCTATTTCGTTTGAAAAATTGCCAATTTTAAACGTTCTTGTTTCCGTTTTGTTTAATTATTAATTACTACGTTCTAAATAAATAAATAAATACTATATTTCCAGAATACATTGTTTTCTTATTTCTATATTAAAACTTCTATCATTATAGACTTCAAAGAGTTAACATTTATATAGAGTTTAATTTTTAACTAATATTAGCGTTTAATCGTTCGTGCCTTCAATGCCATACTTTCCATGCAGTTAGGACAAAAAATTATGTTCGCATCATGGGCGCAAAGGTGATTACGACTTTAGCGAAATTACCTATTTTGCGACCTTGATACGAAAAAACAATTAAGCCTTGTCTGATTGTGGTAGGTAGCCAAATGCCTAACTTGCCATTTGACCAAATTACAATTTTACAGAGAAAGAAGGTTAAGTTCAGAAGAACTTAGTCTGAAAACAGTTTTGCTGTGAAAAATTTGTGTGATTCGGTCAAATGGCAAGTTAGGCATTAGGCTACCTAAAGTTTTCACTGCATATATAAAAATTAAAAATTTCAAAATAAATAGATGACATGTTTTTAAGAATAAAACGCATTTAAACAAAACACCTGGTCGATCTGTACTCAGTGTGTACGTTAAGGGTTAATGTAAAATTGTAAATTGTAATTTTTTTATTTTTTTAATTACTGAACTGTACGCTACACTTCTAATTAGTTATATATTTTACAAAATCATTTTGCATTTTTGAAGTCTCACATCGAATTTTAATTCATTTTTAAAATTTTGGTCGTCATCTTGACGACCTAAATTTTTTAATTTTGAATCAGAAGTTAGATTTTCAAAATTCTAATTGGATATCAAATCAAAGTGTTTTTTTATCGTTTTAACTCTACAAATTCGAAAATGACTCAATTTTCCAAACATTGAAGAAAGAGTTGTGAAACTATCCATATGATATTAATTTTATACAATATGAAAATTATATGTTGTACATAATAATGTTAGATAATTAAATATATGCAAAATTCTTTCGAAAAATAACATAATCAAAATTAAAGCAGTTTAACCCCTAATACCACAAAAAAACAACTACTTTTGCCAGCCATAAACCGGAAAAATTAGTAATAATTATAAGTTTAAGTAACAATTAATTCATTCATTACAGAGTCAAAGTAAATATCATCAATTAGGGGAGCGTGGGGTAATGGGAGCTTGCGGGTAATGGAAGCTTTTAAATTTCACGTACTTAGAAGCCTCAAAATTCGCTGCAATGTCTAGAAAATCATCTACAACCTTTGTGTATATCAATCCTAAACGAACCATCACATTCTTGACAGATTTTTAGTAAAGACAGGGGAAAATGTATTTTTTGAGTTTTCGTTGTAAAATGCAAAATATTTCTAAACATTACCATAAGTAGTTAAAATCGTATTATTTAGTTATGGTTTTTCATTATATTATAGGTGAATATGTGTAGATATGTAGGGGAGACCGAGGAGAGTTGAAACGATTTTTACATTATCCAGTATAACTCATCCAAAAATTGACCTATTTTTATGAGCTTTGTATTTATGGATAGGTAATTTTGTGTAGTATGTGAATTAAAAATGAAAAATTTAAAAAATTGTAAGGGTTTACGAAAAAATTGCAAAATCCAAAATAGTTCCCAGTGTTACAACTCACCTAGTACCAAGGTGAGTTGTAACACATGTCGACGTTAGCTGTAATAGTTGCAAATTTTGTAATTTTAATGAAAAAAAATCATTTTTAATGCTTAGTTTAGTTAGTAAAGTAAATTTAACTAGTTAGTAAAGATATCTTATTAATAAAAACAAATAAAACACTCGTTTTAATACCTTCATTTACTTTTGGAATTATGTTATCACATATTTCGTTTTCTATAACACTAATTAGATATTTTAAACCAATCTTTGATATTTATTTACGATCTATAATAACAATTTGAGCTTTTTAATAGCTAAAAAATATTATATAATATATTTTATAGA